GTGTGTTGGAGTAGAGCTGCTCTGGTTGGTGGGATAGACTCATAGGGCCTCTGCTTTCTGGCAAACAAGTCAAGCCTGGCCTCATCCACAGTAGCAGCTGTGCTGGATCCGTCATACATGAGAATGACAAACTTCTCAAGCACCTCTATGTCGCAGTCCTCCACTGTGGGAGGGTAAATACCCAGTTTGGCGAATACAGGCAAGGATTCTGGACATATGTCCCATGTATGCCAAGCCATTTTCTTGCCTTTGTTGCGGAAGGCAGACACAGTGTCACATCCTGTAAAGGCATGGAAGAAGAGCATGCCTTTGACCTTCTCCTGGCCAACATGCTGAAATATGTCATGCACACTGATCCAGCGCAGAGTCTGACCTTGCCCAAATGCAAGCCACATATGCTGTAGGCCAGCCTCTTGGAGACCGCTGAATACACTAATTGCTAAGATCAGAACATCTGTGTCATTTGCCTTGATCATGATGGATTGGCTACCAGTTGCATGTTTGGCATGCACAAAGATGCGGCTGTCCGCTTCCTCATGAGAGCATTTATCCAGTCCATCAAGACCAGTTGCACGAGTGCTGAGGACAGCAGGTCCCTTTGTGGCGATGACGGTATTTAGGACAAACATTTGTGCAACCTTTTCGGCAAGGGTGGGACAACTCTGTTTTGTTGTCATTGTGCCTCAGGAAGTTATGCCAGTTAGATAGCATGGTGTTCTTATTTGTTACCTTGCGTCTTCCCCCCTGGCCACATTTGGACCTGGTCTCAACTTTAAGGCTTGATGGGTTTTACACATCAAAGACCAGATGTGTCATTGTGTACTTGCTGGAGTACATGTAGATCACAGGTAGGAAGTCGAGAGCTGCATAGTCCTCAAAAGTCTTGGATCTTTTTGGTGGCAGGGCGTGGTCCAAAGCTGACCCATCTACAATGAGAACATCTGCCTCAGGTTCCTTGTCAACTGGTGGGACATAATTCTCAAGGATAGGGGTCAGCTGAGACTTCTGGCAAGTGTACAATTTTCCACCCTTGCTCAATGCAACAGGGAAGGACTGGTTCTCATGCTGAAAGAACCCCTGGAGGTCATGCTGAGTTACAGCAGTGATATCACCAGTGTTCCCTGGTTGTGTGCCGATATTCACTCTAATACATCTGCAAGCTTGTAATGTATAAACATCTAAATTCTGTACTGCAATGACCCCATTGGATGCATAGACCAAAAATATACTGTGCATGCCAAAAGTTAATGTTTCATAGTCACTAAGATCGGATTACTTCAAGGCAATGGCAGCCATCTTGGACACCATCTTGTTTTTCAAATTTAATGTTATAACTCTCATGAAAATAACAGATAATGGAAATGATATTTTCATGCAACCATATGCACGTAACAACAATCGGTGTTACAAATTTCCCACTCTCCCAATTCTGTACAAGTATCTATATGCTGTATCTCAAGAACTGTAATGGATACAGAAATGTAATGGATACAAAATGTCTGCAATACCCAACTTTATATTCAACTTCAATATATGTCTGGGGCTTAAAATCAAGTCATTTTGAGTTATAAAGGAAAAAAACACATTTTTGGAGCGGACATCTTGGATTTTGTGGTCGCCATCTTGGAATTTTGCATGGCTAACGTTATTTTTGAAAAGAGTGGGGTTTGAAGAGTATATGTACCAAATTTCATGCTTGTATAACAAAGTGAACGATTCGGGCTATATTATGCATTTGTCTGCTCCACTATGTGGGAAACACACAGAGAGATGTGCTGTAGTGGCTAATGATTCATGTAATTTCATGCTTATGAGTTAAAATCCAAAAGAGAGTGTGCAAAATAAAAGAATGGTCTGAATCCAAACTGCTGCTCCATCTGGTTATACTTCTGACTTCAACAATACACCTAACCTACAACAGAAAGGGCTTTAAGTTGACTGTGTAAACATGGGGACATCGGTTGTGTCATTTAGTGGTTCTTGATGAGTTTTGGAGCCCAGTGCCAGCAGTAGTCATACCAGAAACTCACTTTTAGACAACCTAGCAAGAGGCAAAGAGGATGACTTAAGATTGGTTTTAAAGGGATAGTCTGGCGTAAGATCAAGTTGGGGTCAGACACCCCTCCGAGAGATGAATGTTGCTGACTTCTTGCTTCTTTAGTTACACCAACTTTAGTAATGACCGCATGGTAGCAATACACAGCAGTCTACGTCTCCATGTGCAAACCTCAACCAAAAAGCCACTCTATACCACAAATAATGCTCAGAATAGCACTTAACTTCATCAACAGTACATATAGGGTCCCAGCCATAGAACTAGCCTCCAAACATCTTTTTAGCTTTGCCTGATTTCTTTAGCAAATAGACCAAACACAACTCACCCACTCTTCCAGCAGTCACTTGTTTGTGGGGGGAGCCCTGAAGAGTTGATCACCAAGTGCAGTGTATCATTTCCATTAAGTAATAATCATCATATTAATTATTTTGCACTGCCCACGTGGTAGTTCTTCTGCCGTAGTGTCTCTGTCTGATCGCATTTCCATGAAAAAATAATCATAAATGTTCTTCCTTGAGCTGCGAAACTCTGCTGCATTCAGTAACGCTGATGTTGAGTTAATTTTAGGCACACAATTTGATTTTTCAGTAGCTATGAAGTAGATAATGTGCCTAGAATATATATATATATCGCATATATATATATATACACTCACCGGCCACTTTATTAAGTACACCTGTCCAACTGCTCGTTAACACTTAATTTCTAATCAGCCAATCACATGGCGGCAACTTAGTGCATTTAGGCATGTAGACATGGTCAAGACAATCTCCTGCAGTTCAAACTGAGCATCAGTATGGGGAAGAAAGGTGATTTGAGTGACTTTGAACGTGGCATGGTTGTTGGTGCCAGAAGGGCTGGTCTGAGTATTTCAGAAACTGCTGATCTACTGGGATTTTCACGCACAACCATCTCTAGGGTTTACAGAGAATGGTCCGAAAAAGAAAAAATATCCAGTGAGCGGCAGTTCTGTGGGCGGAAATGCCTTGTTGATGCCAGAGGTCAGAGGAGAATGGCCAGACTGGTTCGAGCTGATAGAAAGGCAACAGTGACTCAAATAACCACCCGTTACAACCAAGGTAGGCAGAAGAGCATCTCTGAACGCACAGTACGTCGAACTTTGATGCAGATGGGCTACAGCAGCAGAAGACCACGCCGGGTGCCACTCCTTTCAGCTAAGAACAGGAAACTGAGGCTACAATTTGCACAAGCTCATCGAAATTGGACAATAGAAGATTGGAAAAACGTTGCCTGGTCTGATGAGTCTCGATTTCTGCTGCGACATTCGGATGGTAGGGTCAGAATTTGGCGTCAACAACATGAAAACATGGATCCATCCTGCCTTGTATCAACGGTTCAGGCTGGTGGTGGTGGTGTCATGGTGTGGGGAATATTTTCTTGGCACTCTTTGGGCCCCTTGGTACCAATCGAGCATCGTTGCAACGCCAAAGCCTACCTGAGTATTGTTGCTGACCATGTCCATCCCTTTATGACCACAATGTACCCAACTTCTGATGGCTACTTTCAGCAGGATAATGCGCCATTTCATAAAGCTGGAATCATCTCAGACTGGTTTCTTGAACATGACAATGAGTCCAATAGAGCATCTTTGGGATGTGGTGGAACGGGAGATTCGCATCATGGATGTGCAGCCGACAAATCTGCGGCAACTGTGTGATGCCATCATGTCAATATGAACCAAGCTCTCTGAGGAATGCTTCCAGCACCTTGTTGAATCTATGCCACGAATAATTGAGGCAGTTCTGAAGGCAAAAGGGGGTCCAACCCGTTACTAGCATGGTGTACCTAATAAAGTGGCCGGTGAGTGTATATATATATATATATATATATATATATATATATATATATATATATATATAATAAAAGAAAACACATACTGTTGAGGTCCCCCAAAAGCCCCATGATGTCCTCCTATCTTATTAATTTTTAGAAGGAGAGGGATGATGTAATATAATCAGGATTCAGGATTTCTGTTGTGTTTGTCTGTTAAAGCAACACTATACAATCATTCAAATGAAGTTTTATTTTATTTAATTTGCTTTAATTTAATTTGTCCTCGTTTCAAAAGAGTATCATTTCCAGGTTATTTAAGGTAGCACTAACAGTAACTCCTCATTCCTCCTCACAAGCATTCACCAGAGGCAGCTTCAAGAAAAACTGTCTCTGTGGCTCCCTCTTATGGTGACTAAACCTTAAAGCTACAAACCAGATTGTCCATAAAAAAGAAAAACACCGGGAAAAGCCCGGCCTGGTATTTGTGTGAAGAACAAATCTGGAGGAAACCTGCACGATTGTAGGCTGATATTTACTCTGGAGGAAGGGGGTGACGGTCAGTCCTCCACCTTAATCATCCCTCCCTCAACTCCATCACAACCCATACATCACTGTACAGTGAGTCAAGGACGCGCCCCCAATACACACTTTGACAGGGACAGAGAGAGAGCGAGAGAGCGAGAGAGAGAGAGAGTACAGGTATTATCTGGAAGTGGAGAGGGAAGCATAGTCGCTGCTGACCGCTGGGACACCAAAGGGAAAGGAGGGGATGTGTTGTTGTGCTGATGGCTTTCCTCATTCCTCCTCCGACAAGAACTCGCCTCCTCCTCCAAACGGAGACGCAGGTGTAGCCACTCCATCTACCTTCACTCCCCCTAACACCGCGACTACCAGCTCTCCTTGTCTTCCGTGCGCCTCGTCTCTTCTTTCCTGTCACCAAAGGAGATTTTTACGCACCACTGTGGGGAGAGTACCATCATGTTAGACACATTGCTGTGCGTCTCTTTTGTGCGCCGTCCGTTACCGCTGTTTTGAGAGTGATGCCGGCACGCGGTCTGCAGCAGCACCCGGCACACATGTCTTGAACTCGGCGGAGGCGTTTGCAACTACAACAGCACTTGATCCACATAGAGAAGACTTATTGGTAACCATGGCTGACCAGGTAAGGCGACCCATATTTTAACCTCCATTGAAGCCACTTCGTGCGCTCTGCCAAATAATACTACACGCGCGCGTCAGGTAGCCTGGACTACACACACACACACACACACACACACACACACACACACACACACACACACACACACACACACACACACACACACACACACACTGTGCTGTATGAAGACAATAGCAGGAGATGTAATCTTTGTTTTTGTGCAGCATACTTTGGCTTCCCTCCGTCACACTGTCTCATTCAGGGGGAATTCAGGTCAGAATTTAGGGCATATTTTTATCTTAGCTCCCGGAACATTAAATTTTGAAGAGACAGCGTGTCTGAGCCATTCAGCATTGACTCCTCTGTAACCTTTATGTGCCTCACAGAAGCTATTTTTACGCCTTACATATTGGATCTTCTGTCATAGTTGTAAGATGGCTTAGTGACTATATCTGTAATATATTAGCCAGGGTTACAGTTCTTAAAGGATCCATCGATCTGTCCCTCCGCAGGTGGACTATCTCAGTCCTCGTGGACTATTTTATCGATCCTCTGTAATGAAATGAGGAGTTTATAGTAAGCATGTTTAGGAAGAATTTAAAGTGCTTCAAACAGAAGTAAGCCGCAGAAGGAAGAAGCGCAGCAGGCATTGGGCTGTAAGGAGAGGAGAATAAAAACACTGCCTGTAGTATTAATTTTGTATTGTGCACTGTTGTTTGCCCTAGTTTTTCTCGACAGCTGAGCAAAAGAAGCAGATTAACCCCTGACAAGCCGGCTCAGCCCCTGGTCACAGTTTCCTGTCTCTGCATGTACAACTCCCCTGAGCGCAGCTAACTGTAAAGGCCATGCTTAATTGATTAGTTGGTTCAATTAACCTAATTAAAATACCTCAGCGAGCCTGGGTGAATGATGTATGCTGGTGCGAGTGTGTCAGCAGCTATTACCAGGTCACTAGCAGCCACACCTCAGCTGCTACCGTGAGATGAAATATGATAATGATCTACCACATGGTCCGATATAATATTTCTTCATTTAAAAATGTGCTACTTTATTTAAACCCACATCACACTGTTTTATTTTCAACTTCCCCAAATCTGTGCCAAACTGTACATCACTTCACTATTTCATATGATTCTGTGGTACACTGTGCTGCACTGCAGCAGACTACAGTATCTTTCATGTATATTATCTGTAGCTGCTTAGGCTATATAATGCCCGACTATGTCTATGTATAACTGTCGTACTGGTAAACACACTAAACGCTTTACTGTATTCCACACAGCAACGTATAACACAACTCTAAACAGATGTTTTACTTCTGTACTGTACATGAATAGATAGATAGATAGATAGATAGATAGATAGATAGATACTTTATTAATCCCAGAGGGAAATTCAACATTACTATTCAATACTGTACATACTATACTACACTATACATTTCTATACCATAGTGTTCTATATGCTGTACTGTACTTTAGAATGCTATACCATTTTATACTATACTATACTATACTATACTATACTATACTATACTATACTATACCATTATCTATATTCACTGTATCACAATTTACTTCACCAGACTTGGTTTGGCTACATAGTTGAATATTAGCATTCAGAATGCAGTGTACCATATTTATACTGTGTTTTATAAATGAACAAGATTTCAATATATTCTTTTGAAAAATTAACTGCACATAGCTTTATTCAACGTCACCATTCTCCAGTCTTCTGTGCAGTATACCTCTGATGAAAACTCATTTCTTGCTGGCTAAGTTGTTTAAGAATGAAATATTGAGACAATCCCAAGCTTTTTATACAGGACTATAAGGATACTACAAAAGTCTACACTTATAAAACAATACAGACTTATGTGTGCTTGTCAAAGTGCTCTGTGATAAACCCTCACTGTGTGAAGTTTACTGAATCAATTTTATTCAACACTGTACCAGTGCATGCTGCTAATTCAGCTCTTTGCTTTAGGGTAGACTCTCTGCTGTGATGATGCTAAATTGGACCACATTGTACTCTAATGTGTTGATGTTATTGTGTCTCTGCTATTTAATTAAGCATCAATGCTCTCCTTAGAATTATACAGGAAGAGACCAGGCCACACAGACACCTAGGGGTGCGGCTGGAGCTGTATTAATTGCTGCATTAATATTGATGAGGGTAGTGCATGGCTGACCCGCTGTGGCTGCATGCCCACACACCATTATGCAAATGAGCGTTCACTAACTCACCCAAAACACACTTTTCGTAGCCTAACTATTGTTCAGAAGAGAGTCCCTAACTGCTCTCTACATTTCATATCTCCAGGGATAGAGATCAGGACTTTTTGTTGACCTATTTTCAGGTGAATTCCTGCTCAGTGAGCACATTGCACAGTTTAGATTCACCTGACCACATTTATGGCCTTATTATACTCTACTGCAGCACACACACACACACACACACACACACACACATGCGCGCGCAAGCACACATGCACACATGCACACACCATCTCTCCCTGCTTCTCTTCTAGGTTTCCCTTCGACATGCTGTGTGTCTTCATCAGTGTCAGTTTTTCACACTGCCTCATGTCTGTCTCACCTCCACTGATATCACCCCCTATTCTTTGCACACTTACATACACACAGTGGAAACGCCCCTCCCCCCTCAGTGATAACATTTACAGTGAAGTCCTTATTACAGGTAGATATGCAGCCTGCTTAACAGACTAATGTATCTGGCTTAGTGGCTCATTTACCCCTTAACTCATGTTTTTGTTGTTGTTTTTTTGTTTCCTTCATCGATTTCTTTACAGTATAGCATGTTTCTGACCACGGCGCCCCCTCTACGGCGTGGCAGCACACCCTTGCCCGTCAAACACCAACTGCGGAGAGAAGAAGCAGTGTCCGATGACTGCGATTGGATTCCAGGCCTGGAGGAACCTGCCACGTTGCCTATCAGTGACACAGGGGTGCCTCGGGACGAGTCCTTTAGCCAGTCAGCAGCCGCACAGTCTTCTTACCACAGCCACGGCGGGGCATTAAGGATAGTCCTACTGGGGCAGAATGGTGTGGGGAAGTCGTCGCTGGCCTTATCTCTGGCCGGGCAGTCGGACAGATCCCTCTCTATAGACTCTGAGACACAAGCATGTGGTAAACACTTGGATATTGATGGTTTGTGTGTTTTTATGTGCATGGGCGTCAGTGTAAAACATTGGAAGTAGGCTGATCAGGTTCCAACTCATCAAATTGGAGAGTACTTTTCTTGAGGACAATGTGGGACAATGTAATGTCCATTATATTGTCCACAGGAGTTAACAGGTTGATTTGGTCTCACACACTATGCAGGTTAGGCATGAAGCTGCAGTTTCACTGTTCTTATGTAAAGCTGCTGATTTTTTTATACAATCTCTTTGTCTTTAAATTTCTTGAAAATGACAGGAGCTGGCCTGTATGATTGGAAAGGCTGCTCGGTGTAATCATCGTTCACTGTTTCAGCTGCTGTTACCTTATCTGTTTGGCAATCCTCTTTCAATTTCAGTCAGAATGTACCCATAGATCAACATTTCTCATTATAAGCCCAGCATTTCTTGTGTCTTTCACGTAGTGTGTCATATCAAGCCATATACTCGTCCTTGTGCTATTTGAAAAACTGCTCTTGATAATGTACCAAAACCTTTTATAGGGATTATCCTCCACTTATCTCACAGAAGAGGAAATACTTTTCCAGACTTTGTCAAACTTATTAAGAGAACTTAACCAGTTTAGCTTGACCTGTAGAAAAACCTCATTAAGATATTTTTAAATGCTTTATGGAAGAAAAAAATGTAGATTTGTTTCCACCAACCGGTCTATAGGTTCAAACTTCATGTATGTGCCATTTTTAACCTACTCTGTGAACAAAGCAGCACATCTCATCTCTGTCTTTATCTTGTCATCTATACGCACATGTAGAATCAACTGAAGAAAAATATCATCACAGGCAGTTCTGGTCGGTTTGCTATGAAAGGTGTTGTTTTATTTACATTAATAGCAGAGCCAACAGGCATCAAAAGTAGCTGAAAGGACGTCTTAAAAAATAATTTAACAGCCTTATTGTTACAGTTGACTTCTTAAACGTTACTCTCCTTATTCTCATTCTTGGCCTCAAAACTCCCATTCCCTTTAGATCATCTGACTAATTTTTGCCTCTTTGCGGTGTATCTTCTATTTTTGCCAATTTCCCTTTCAAAAAACAGCATCAACCATAGTTTACCGCTGCCTTTGGGAGCCATTGCACAGTCTATCTGTAGGTCCATTTTCCTGTTGTATATCTCAGTGCAACTCAGAGGACAAAGAGTTCTTGTCCGATCTTCCACCCAGCCAATCGATACGTCAGTGTCACTGAGAGGTTTGAGAGTTCAAGCTCAGAGCTGATGTGCCCCTGACTCACGACATGAAGTATTCATCAGTGCTCATGTAGTACCCTCAGATTCATGCATCATAAAAAGCACTTTCATCAAAGAAGCTGGGACATGTTTCCAAGACTGCGCTCTTGACTTCATCTCAGGTTTTAACAATGTGCTAAAATATTCCTCTCGCTACACATCAAAAGAATAGTGTCAAAAAACACTAATCAACACCTACTTAATTATCACTTGTAAGATAGTTTTGAACAGATGCTCCGGCACTACATTAGCTCTGTAAGCAGTACACCAATCAATACGTGTCCTCACCAAGTAATTACCTGTTAAAGACAGCGCTGATTAACACCTGGAGGTTTACTCATACCTTAAAATAGATGTGCCATTCATCAGGGAAGATTTTACCAGGCTTTTTCAAGAGCTGATACAAACTTCTTAGAAGGCATTTTCTGATTCAGTTCACGGCTAATAGTGCAGCCATTTGGTCAACAAGCTTTTTTCGATCTCACCTTTTTTTTTTCAGAACTACCAGAGTCAGTCAATCAGGGAAAAGCAGTTTCTTGAAGAAATCTCTGAAGTTTAAACTTCACTTTTAATAATGATATAATTCTATGAAGTACATTGTTTATTTTTATTTTTCAAGGTGCTTGACTAAAAAGGCTAATCAGGGTTTATATAGTGTGGAGTTAATCTAAAATAGTTTTAAATGATCACTCATGTCCAGTGATCCCAGGTTAATGCAACAGCGTTTTTAGGAGTTCCATTTCAGTTGATGCCCTGATACAGGTCCTGTATGCGTGGAAGTATTGTTATCCACAATGATAAGGCATTGACAATCTGAGGACATCCTCTCGACCTGAGTCTTTAACAGCATTGTGACTTACTACAATTGCTGTAGCCATCTTAACTGATTTAGTTTCACCCACTGGTCTGGGGTGATTCACACACTTCAGACGAAAGCTTTAATGACACTGTTGCCTACTGACATCAATCTAATTAGCTGCACCTGTGTGCCTATGTAGCTCGTTAGGAAGTAGCTTAAACTTTATGTACTTTGGCAATACTTTAAATTCAGTTTGACTCAAAGTAAACCTTACTTTTTACTTGTAAAATGGGTGGTTTTGGGAAATTCTAAAGTACACGAGTCAAAAGTGCAGTTTTGTTAATTTATGTAGCAGCAGCAGCAGCAGGAGCAGAGTGGTTAAACCACAGTATGACCAAAGGGAACAAAAAAGTACAAGATGAAAACTTAAATAACTTGTTAAATTCAGCCCTGAATAAAATGTGTGATTATGCATTTTTCACTCACAGCCCTCATAAAAACCTCCAAAACATGTTTTTCTGGTACAATGATTCTCTGAGTGACATTTCCTTTGCTACAATTGTCATGGGTCTTATAGATGATCTGAAATCAAATCAACATGTTTGGTCCAGTTTCCTTGATATTTCAAAAAATGCTCACAAATTATCTGGCAGATAAAGTCTGCTACTAATGTTTTTTTTTTTTTAAACAAGGAAATTTTGCTGTAAATCAAAACGCCCACTTGTTTCAGGATCATATGAATGATATCTGCATTCATTTGCATCTTTAATTTGAGAGGAACTTGCTTTGGGCTGCATATAAAAAAAATAAAAAAAACCCCACTGTAAAACATTTCTACTTGAACATGCCTGTTTTCCACATAGGAACTATGGATAAAAAAAAACAGCCTATTTTATCCTTTTAGTAAAAATATATGAATGTTTCTACATAAAAAATACTGATCAAACATCTAAAGTTTGTTGCAGGAACATTTTTCAAATATGCCAAAAGGCCACATGACCCAATTTAAGCAGCTTCAAGAAACTGATGAGAGTTTTGTAGAGTAGGCCGAGAACATTAATAAAACCCAGATTGATTCGTCAACTTTTTCAGGCAGCAGTTAAACCGCTGACATTTAGTTAATAGTGCAATTCTCTCAGACTCAACGCTGCTTACCGACACATCTTTTTGTCGCTCTCAGTATTGAATATCATCATTAGACACAGTGTGTTGTTGTGTTTTTCATCCCCCTCTGTGTGCTGAAGTGTGTAACCCTGGTGTCTGCCCGCAGGTGAAGGCTACGAGTGTAATGTGACAGTCGACGATGAGGACAGCAAACTCATCGTTTACGACAACTGGAAACAAGTGAGTAACAGATTGTCAGCTTCGATTTTCACTCACTTTGTCTTGTTTATCTTGGCCAGATTTGACACACTTCTTTTTTTTCTGTTTAACTTTCCCTGGTTTGGACTTTCTTTGCCTGCACTGAAGAAAATGGGAAAAACCATTTGTTCAATTACTTTGATGGGCAAATTATTTGAGTGCGCTGGAGTGGACAGAAAGTGTACTTTGCCTTTTTTGAGTCTTTGAGTGTGTGTTTGTGTATGTGTGTGTGTCCATGTGCTGCACTGAGCTGAAACTCATGCTACAGCAGCTGTGCTCACACAACTTTTTGGGATTCTTTCATCCAGAAAAGTGGAAATCAGTCTCTTGTTAACCTCGATTCAACACAAACTGGAGTTAAAGGAAACATTTCAGAGAGAGCTTAAATTGCTGTGGCTATGGACCATCGAGCTCAGATGAGTTAAAAGGACCCTCGGATGACGATGTTGGAGCTGAAGACTTATCCTGCTGAAATAACAGCTTGTCCATGTGACACTGAGCTCATTATGCAAAAATTACAAAAGCATGCAGTCATTAATGCTCGATAATAACGTGATGGAGCAGGAGAGGACTCTAATTAGTACGAGGGGCGGATCATCCCTGATGCATCTTATTCCAGATGTCCACTCGGCCCTCTGGGGCTCTCCCCTTAAGGTTAAATTATTCACACACACAGCTACATTTAGCTCTTGGGAATTCCAGCGAGAGCCGGTTCATTTCTTCACCTCTTCATCTCTTTCTGTTTGCTCTCTCAACCTCCAAAATCCTCCTTCCAGTGACCGTCCTCATCCCAAAATCACCAAGTCCATCCTTCCTATGCTGCTTACCCGCCTCAGTCCACTGGCCTTTTTCTGCAATGTTCAAAATCTGGCTGTGAGTTAATTACATTTGTTATTCTGTGCGTGTTAATACTAGGCAGGGCATTAAGGCTGCAGCAACAGACGTAGGCCAGCGGGAGGCTTGGAATAACTCCAGGGCCGTTAGCAGTGGGGGGAGGCAGAGAGGACTGGACAGAATCCCAAATTATCCGCCAAATTATGCTCATGTTTTTCTGCTTTTTTGGAGCTAATGCTCACGGATAAAAGACACACACTGATACAAAACTCACACAGTCTGATGAGCACGCAGATGTTGTCCAGCTGCTGAACGCGTGTCGTGGCCTTAAACTGGCACAGCATTAAGCGTTGGTCTCAGGAGACTTCTGGCCTCGATGTGAGAGAACAGTGTTCTCAATGGGGCACACCGACCTAGTCCTAAAGTTACCATAGCAACATGGAAAGTTACACACACACATATACACTCTCACATACCCACATTCAAGGCTGACTTAATCACTCATTTACTCACGCATAAGATCATGCTAGAACAGTCAGCATCTGACGCTGTTGGCTGTCGGGCTTTGTGCGCTTTCTGGCCGCCCCGCTCAGCGCCTCGTCATCCCTCTGCAATGCAAACTGCCAAAAAAGATGAAAAACTGTTACAGGCACATTCAGCAATTGTTCCTTGAAGTGCTTTCTTGGCTCGACTCACAGCCGATTGACACATGAAGGTTTGGCTGGAGCAGTAATTTTCTAAAATGAGGTTTCAGAGAGCAGAGGGCACAACAAACAGCAAGAAGAGCTCACTGTAAAGTGCAGGAGCATAAAAATATATAAATCCACTGTGCTGTGAGATGAATGTGTGTGTTTCTGCAAACACCGCTCAAGCACAGAAGGCTGAGAGTCTGCTCAGACAGACGCTGGGAAGTTGTGAGTGTTGTTGATGTCACGAGGGTTGGACGGTTTTAAATAAGTCATTGGTGTGCTGAAAATAGAAACACTGGCACACTTGGCCTTGACCTAGTATGCCTGTTCTGTCCTTCGCCTGTAGACTGACTTTGGTTAGGTAATATATCTCTCAAACAACTAGACTGTGTGTGTAGAAAGGACAATGAGATTAAGGTCGCTAAGGACTAGAGGGCCTTTTCACCTTTTTTCTCCAATTGCTTGTCCATGTGCATCTGCCAACAAATTCATATGCACCCAGTTTCATCTTTATTTCATGGCTTGAAATTAAAATATTTATCAAAGACAACCAAAAGGTGCAGCCTCAGGCTCCACAATGTAGGCCAATTATGTATATGTGTATTTATCATCCATCAGTAAGATGTACTTGCTGCTGCTGCCTCAGAGGACAGGATCATTTGTTATGTGTAAGTAAATTTTGGGGATTTACACAGGGAAACAAGCCCAGCATGTAATTTGGAGGAAGATAATCACTGCTTGACCAAATTCTTCAGCTCAATTAAGGGGAAAGGAAAACACTGTTCCACCATCCGCTCCTCAGTAAAGAGAGATTTTGGTGAAGTGTGCAGGGAGCTCTTTCCCAGGACATTTCTCTCCTATTTTGCAGCCTTATGAGAGCCGTTCTGGACTATTTACAGCTTCTCATTTCTGGCTCTGGTCCACAGCAGCTATTATACTTTAACAGTCTGTTGGTTTTCATCTCAGCTGGGAGTCACTTTTCTGTTCATTTTCATAAACCGCTTAGTGTGAACACAGCCACACCTGCTAAAAAGCTGAATTTATCCAACATCCTCTCACATGATATTCTTTTTTTTGTTAAACTTTTACGGAATCTAATACTTCTCATAACAAAGACATCGATTCTGTATATAGGGATGTCCCGATACAATATTGATACAGGATATCTGTCTGATATCAGCAAAATAAATATAAATATAATAAAATCGAATATTGGATTATATCAGCCTGTATTTGAAATCTCCGATATCAGCACTTCGATATAAGCAGTCCATTCCAGACTCCACTCCGGCACCTCTATCTAGCAGCGCCTTGATCCAGTAAACTGAGCACATAAAGTCACAACAACAGTATTTACAAGGGTACTAATAAAGTAGCAAGGAGTAAGAGTGATTTTGGCCAGTATTTTTTGTTTAAGCCCGAAAAAGTCATTGCAGCTTGGTGAAAAACTTGTCATGCACAATTTCGTGTCAATATCAGATCAATATCAGTATCAGTCAATATTGAAGGCTATATTGGTATTGTATCGGAAGTCAAAAAGTTGTGTCAGGACACCCCTAAGTGTATATGAACTATTTGCATGTTGCTAGATGTTAAAAGAAAACCCTGTAATCATGGGCAGACATGTTAAAAAGTACAATTAGCTATCACCAGCTATACACAAGCTAACTTAGAAAAAAAAAATGAAGATCACAGGGACCTAAAAACTCCAGCTTTACAATGTTTCAGTCACTTGATGTCTTAGGGGTAGTATTGTGAACTTTTTAGTCCCAAAAAGAGACAGAATATTCTGTTAGGAGGTCAGTAGCACAGCGAGACCGATGAATGAAAGAAGTACATAAACAAGAAACATGTATTTGATGGCTTCGCTGTGGGGCAAAACCTTGTGCCTCTACATTTCATCATGAGCATGAATCAATGCTTTTGATTTCTTTTTGTGCCTGTAAGTCTTCTATTATTCACCTGATGGAACAAAATGTGAAAAGGCTTGTGATTGAATCTACTGCGATGTTTAGTCATGTCAAAAACACAAAGTTTCTGCCCAAATGGTCATGATATCTGGTTTTGCTAAAACTGTAATTTTGTCAATTTATATCAACTCATTTCAACTTTTACAGAGAGAGACTCTTAATCTGAATAAATTACATCATAGAAATCCACCTTTGAATCATTTTAGATACTTATATTACAGAAAGTGAATGAAAAATGACCAAAAGTTTTACTTTCTGTTGTTGTATTACACATAGACAAAATCAATACATGGAAATACATTCGTGCATACTTATTTGTTACTCTTACTGATCTCTGGTAGACCCTGGACACTGCTTTAAGAACGACTCCAACAATATAGTATGCTAAATGATAAGAAAATCTTTGGTTGCGGCCTTGCAACAAAAATCACAATCAAAAAAATGAATCACTCATCAAACAAGTTATTTTTCTGTGGATATTTCTTAGTGCTCTTAACAGTGTCAAGTGGCAATAATAATAATAATTTTCTTGTGATTGCTTTTCTGTGCTCGTTTAAGCTTCAGATTCTTTTATTCTTTGCCGGTTTACCCATAATTTATTAACATGAGTGCCTTAAATTATTCAAACAACACAACCCAACTACAAAGCCTTTTTTTTTTCTTCTTTATCACAGGTTGTGTTCTTTTGATGCTTTAGGTATATTCAGTATATCTCAAGCAGGCATTGGCTAGATGACTGGTGTTGCTAGACAGTCCAGCTTTTATTGGACATGATTGGTCCACTTGCTGAGTCAGATCTGAACCAGGATTAGTGAAGAGTTGTCAAGCGATTGTTGAGAAGTATGGGGCAAACAAATCTAGTTAGAAAGATGGATGTCCAGGCTAATGTGGGGCAGTTGGCAGCCTTACTTCAGGGTATAACCTTTACACACCCCACTTTTAACATCCTGTCAAGATTATTTCTTATCGCAGAGGATTTTCTTTTTTTAAGCAGTGATATAAATAACTGAGTAGTGCTTCGCTTTATCTGGGGTGATTCAGTCTGTAACATTTGCTTAGTTAGCATTACAAGCAATCAGGAAACTGGTTCAGCATTTCTTTCCTCCCTATTTGCCTCCCACTAAAGATGACCACTGCTGGGACACCAAAATGTCCCAACAGTAAGCCGGTGTCCAACCATTGTGTCTCTTTAATTAGGACACAGCGGCAGAAGCCCTTGTGTGTTTCAGGGTTTCCATCTCCTTACTGTGTTAGCCTACATCACATCACACTGTGGCAGCTAAGCCTCGCTGGGTCTGTGTCTATTAGGAGGTTAGGAGGGGTGTAAAAAGCGCTGAAAAGTTGATGTTGAAGATGCTGCATGAATTTAAGTGTCGGGGCTTTGTTGTTTAAACAAAAGTAAACTAAACAGTAGACTGTAACAAAATCATTACATTTAAGAAAATACATTATTATAGATATAAAAAACAAGTTATCTCCAGACTTCCTCTCTCATCACTCACACAGATGTTCAGTATGTGTTGGTGTTGCAGCTTGGTTGTTCTGTCTTGATGTGAGCTATGTCTGAATTTTTTTAATTGTTCACCACCAGCTGTGTGCACCTCGCCGGGTACATCAGCCTGTATTGAGCTCTGTATCACCCACTTGCAATACTACACAGTGAAGCTAGCACCACTATCTAGTTTAAAAGGACACAGCCTATACAATTCCACCTTAAATTTCCCAATCAAATTCTGCCAAATTGTGAAAATGCCCTCTGTCCTCTGTGTTTGTTTACATTCAGGTAGTAGAGCATTAGCAGTAGAAATTTGGAAATAGCCTCTTACCACAGCTACAGTTCATGGTGGTTGACAGCTTCAACACTATGTATGACCCACATTTTGGATCTATAACAATAAAAAATGGTAACTTGTTTGATTGACTAGTAGTGAGGGTGGTAACTGGGACACATGAAAAATTATTACAGGCCGTATTTGAAAAGCAGTGTGAATAGCCAAATAGAAAGATACAGTTTTAGGAATAAATCCAAATTGCATTGAGGGTTTTTTGTGTGTCAATGTATTTTACCTGACTGTTCACAGAATATCAGGTTAACAGTGTTAAAAATCTGTCCATGCTTGTGCCATACGTGGTCTCATTTTATCTTTAGCTATGAGGAGACCACAGGGAATGTATAGAACAGCATCCTGGACCCTGCAGGAATCCTGAGACTGTTAATAGACACCTCAGCAGAGCAGGGACCACATGCAGACATATTAAAGCTTGAACCCCTCCTCCCACCTGTGTGTTTGTAATTGTGTGCATGTGGAGGAGGTTGTCCATGGTTGGTAATAATCTGAGTGTAGCACTATCAGCATGTTGTGATGTCAGCTACATGATGTGATGAGGTGGCCATTCATGGTCATCACTGCTCCACTTTTGCAGTGATCATGTGTGTGTTTGTGTTAGCCCCTCTGCATGTGTGTGTGTGTGTGTGTGTGTGTGTGTGTCCTACTCAGCCAGATGGCCTCTTTAATACTTTTCTGTAGGGCAGCATTGTCTCCATGCGGCAGAAAGTAAGTGCGAGAAAAGAGCAAACCCACTGATTCAGCATTCACACTAAGCTTCATCATCCAATTATCAGATTTTGACTGAGCTTTCAGACAAGATGCCTTCCTATCTCCTTGCTTTGCCTCTGCCCTTTCCTGTTCTCCCTCCCATCCTCTTTTATTTATGTCATTCCTTCATTCATCACCTCTGCTCCTTTATCGATCTTCCCGCTCTTCATTCTGCTCCCAGACATTCACAGAGTCTGTGTGTAAAGTTTGCTCCTGTATTGCAAAATGACAGCATGAGTGTGTGTGTGTTTGATGTGTGTGCAGGTAGATGGAGGGCCATTTGACCTTTTGTTCCCATGCAAAGACTGTAAGCTGCTTTACTAATGTTTCTTGTTCTGCAATACAAAAGACTTTAATAGATGAAAAGAGTTTAGGGAGCATGTTGTATAATGACGGATCCATGCACACATGCTCACACATGCTTGTAATCTGCAGCCCAGAGTTGTATTTACTGCCTTTTTTCACAACTGGAGGGAATAATAGTTTGAGTGCTCGCACAGCCGCAGCGTGTTATGCAAATTGTGTCTGATAAGTGATTCATTGCCCTCACTCTTAATGGCTTCTGATGTAGTGTCTAACTCTCTCAGGCTAGTGTGTGTGTGTGTGTGTGTGTGTGTGTGTGTTTTGAGTATGCGTGTATGAGGAATATTGTTTCTGTATGAATCAAAGGCTCTTGAAAACTATGAATATTTATTTAGAGGTTGTTTCAGTCTAATGCTTTGTTTAAGATTTTTTTTTTTCTGCCACAACAAAAGTTCAGCTTCATCTTCTCGTCTGCTGTCATAGAGAAAGTCAAAGCTTTATGTTGTGCTGATAAACACCACGATCCCTTTGAGATTTGGTTGGATCTATTTTTCTTATCTACATCTGCAGCAGAAACAGGAAGATGCAGGGTAATCCAGTTTTTGAAAGCCTGTTTTTATTTGTAGAAGAGAAGCGTTTCTGACTCTAAGCCTCCTTATAATTGCAAATTGAATTTATTGTGCAGTCTGAAGGACTAAAAAAGCCCATTTGAACTATGTGTGAACAGAATATGCAGCAGAATGATAAGATGGACTTGATTTGTCAGCTCATAGCTGTTTAAAACTTGCTATAGACATTGGAAAAGAATACATTTGAGGACACAGTTACTCTGATCCTTGAAAGAAATTGTTTATATTGATGGCAGGGAGGGATAGGGTCACCAATGGGCAGCCTAATTGAAGAGAGGGTGCTCAACATCGACTCACATCCTTGACAAGTCAGGACAGTTTGACCTGTGAGTCGAGTATCTGTCTGTCACTATGACTTCCTATAGCCCTCCTATAGCCTTCCTATCCATCAAAAAAAGTCTCTATTCACTACAGGTCTGCCTCTTGCTGCACTCAAATAACAAACTCAGGGCAAGGTACGTTAACATACAGGGGAATAAATAGCTGGGAGGTGATATACAGCAAAAAGGGGATGAGTAGAAGTTGAAATTGTGACAAGAACCAAGCCACTGTACATTTTGTGCACTCTTTTATTGCAAAGCCAAAGCTGACCAACCATTATAAGGATGTTTCCTTCAGGATGTAGTCAGCAGGATGTCTTCCTTACAGCACGTAGCTGACGAAATACTGACAGCTGGAGATAGGACTGCACAATTAATCGATTTGAAATGGTAATCGGATTATTTGATTATGATGATGTTAAAAAAAATTTAAATCGTCAAATCGATTTTCCTCTCTATTATGTCTTGCGCCTTCAGGCCACCATAGGCTCCCCAGTTCCCACACAAACCAGTGTAAACAAACATGGCGTTTGCAAAAGAAGGTGATAATTTCATGGCTAACTAGGTCAAGAGCAAGTCAGTCGTGTGGAACTGGTATGACTTAGCAGTTTTGGATGAAGAGCAAACCTCTTCCCTCTGCAAACTCTGTCTGAAGGCGGTATCAACCCGTCCACACGGAAACAAAGTCAGGAGTAAATGCCCAAGTTTTTTGTCGTATCAGCATTCATTCCACACAGAAACGTCATTTTGGGTGATTGTAAAAGGGTCGGAGAGTGCTTAAATCCATAAATGACTACCATTTCATCTCTGTGTAGATGCCTATCTGCATCTCTGGAAATAATCATGTCACACACAGCGTAACTGTGTTATGGCGCCTGCATGTGTCTGGCCAAAACAACCTTTATACGCATGCTCCGTTCTCTTTTACTGTATTTAGTGCATTTTCTCGGCAGCGCTACAGCGCCACTTACTGGCTTGACATATGTACAACATCGTTTTGCGTGGTTTCGTTTGGAGACATGACATAAACCTTTTTATTTTTTAAGTGAAGTTTGGTGAAGTTGTCTCTGACTAAGAAATTCAAATCGAGTTTTTAGCTAAAAATTGATTTTTTTTTTAAAAATCCATTGCACATAGACACTCAGATGGAGCACATTTTAGCGTTTTGATATGAACAGTTTAGCTTTGGCCTTATGAGAAATTTTCCAAATGCAGACTCTGGTGTCGTCATTCTTTGGCAGCAGACTGTGGCAGTATTAGGACTGCACACGGAGATGCAATCCAAATAAAACCCCAGTGTGTTCCCCGAGTTCAGGGGAAATTGTCTCTTAAGCTCAATGACTTCTTTATACAGATGATGCATATCATTTTTCTGAAGGCACAGTTGTCTGAATGTATTGAGATAGCATTTGGATATTATTGTGGATTACTGTTGAAGTGGGTTTGGCTTTTGTGTTTGTGTATTTGTCCATGTGAATGAGTATGTTTGAGTGTGTGTGTGTGTGTGTGTGTGTGTGTGTGTGTGTGTGTGTGTGTGTGTGTGTGTGTGTGTGTGTGCGTGCGTGTGTGTGTGTATAGTGGGGGGTAGGTATTGACAGATGGCCTGCTCTCCGAGGACAGAGAGGAGCTGCTTAATCTAGAAAAGGAGGGAGAGAGAGACAGAGAGAGGGGAAGAGAACGAGAGAAAGAGATCGAGAGAGAGAGAGAGATCTTTGTCCTGAGTTGCTCTGCCTCTGCTTGATGGATGAATACTTACCAGGTCACAGTTTTCCTCCAGCAGCACTCCATCACCATCCTAATCGATACCCACTCTGTGTTTGTACTCTTTAGCTTACAAAGACTGGTCTCTCTCTATTTCTCTTCCTCTCCCTCTGTCTGTCTGGTGGCTTCCGTTCTTCCTCCTCATCCCTGAATCAGACAGTGACAGGTGGCCGAGCCGGCTTCCACGCCAATGCTCTCCCTGCTCGCTGTCTGTTCCTGCTCTCCGTCAAACAGACACGGTGCCAAGGGGCTTCCCGTGAATTTCCTGCTCCGGGTTCTGATCCGATACTACTTGGCTGTGTGGGACAGTGTGAATTTTTCAGGCGTCTGAATCCCTCAGGAGGGCAGGAAGTTGCCCCCAGGGTTTGTGGATGTAGGGCAAGGGCATCCGTGAACTCGCACATACACACAGATGCACATAAATGCAGTCTAAAGCTGGCAGCAGATTAGGTTATCAAGAGGGAATAACACGTTTTCGTATTGATTCAGTCACTGGTGCTTCCAGCTTTAGAACTCTATTTCCAGTTCAAATACAAGTAGATTGTGTTTGTTTTCCTATAAATTGCAGTTTTTAAAAATAACAGCTCAGAAAATCATTGATTTAAGCTTAAACCAGCACTCAGATTTTATTTTATCATTTCTCTGCAAGCATGTTTACAGTTCAGCCAAGTGAACAGCCTCCCAGCTCAACACTGAAACGTAAACAGTGAACAGAAATAAATTGTTGACTCAGTTGTAATATCTCAGATTTCATTTGAACGCACAGGCTGTGCTCCACTACATGAAACTCAGCAGGATATAAAACAATTTCTCTACTCTTCTTTAAGCATGTCAATGTTTTTTATCGATACAGACCACTGTTTGTCTGGCCTCAGATTTCTGTCTTTAGGAGAAAATAGTTTGTATTGATTGTGTTTTTTCAACTTAGGGTGAAATGTCTCTTGGTTTAACCTCTTCATTCCCACAGCTGCCTCAAATCTAAGGGGGTACAATGAATATGTCCATAGATATTGAAGCTTCCATTTTGGATAAAGTTCTTCACACAAAGAGTCAATTTTTTTTTTTGATGAGTTTTTTTTAAATTTTATCTGTTATCCATTAAAACTGTCATCTACAGGACTCTTACACACTGATTCTGATTCCATCCGATTTGGCCTCTCCTAGCTGGTGATGTATACAGAAAAAGTCAGAGATATCCTTCTTTCTCATGTCTTATCATGTGCATGTGTTGCCAGCAATTTTGCAGAGAATCAAGGGCATACACAAACTCACAACTCAGGTATGACAGTGTTGCACTCTGTAGACCTATTACTAAAAAAAAAAAAAAAAAAAAAAAAAAACATGGTGTAGCTCTTTTTATTAGTTCTATTATCCAAAGCTGTTACATTTATAATACCTTTGAAAAAAGACATATTGGTTTTGAAAAAAAAAACAGCTTAAGTGCTGTCTCGTGGACAGATAGCAGTCTACAGCTCTAGGTTCTACGGTACTAGGTAAAAAGCTGTTTAATTTGGAAATGGTGTGCCTCAGGGTCCCTTCTTTTGTCCTCTTTGCTTTACTCTTTATATAAATGATACTGCATCAGCTGTTTTTGGTTTCACTTCTATGCCGATTACATATTTTTGTGCTGCTGCTAATGTACAGTCTAGTGTGCCTTATCTTCAGTGCTGTGTCTCTGAGTAAGATGTACTGCTCACCAAAAGTAGGTTAGTTCTAAAAGCAGCAAAAACTAAAGTCAAGCTCGTTTTCAGATATAAACATATGGGATTGAAGTAAATCCTCATTGTTCATAAATGTAACCCCAATATTGAAAGTAGTGGTGAACCAATATTAGTTTTTCATTGGCTGATGCCAATACTGATAATGATAATGACAGAGCAGGTCTGATGGCAGCTGTATACAATGCCAATATCACATATAGTTATTGTTATTCTTGTTTGTTTGTTTCCTTTGCTTTTCCCTCGGATTGGAGGAAATATAGCTATTTAATTATATAAACATGGTCATGCTATTCATTTCAGAATATGGCTTATACTGTATATCTGTTGAACTGCATTATTCTATACACCACGACAGAATTTGCTCACACTGGTCAGTGGCTGTTTTAGACTGGATAGGTTGTCATTTGGGATGGAAAAGAGATATGTTTTCATTTAGAGAAGATGATTGTTCCTTGTGAGAGCCAGTGTTGATATGACGCTGTTGATTTCTCAAATGCCATTTATCAGCTGACTGATTAAACGGCCTATCGCTCATTAAAATAGGAATCTCGCATTGTAAATCTCGCTATTTGGATTGGTGAGAAGGTTTCTTTGAAAAATAATACTTTAAATGTGGTAGGTTAACTTCAGTTTTTTTCTTAGTAAATGTACAGGAAGCTGGAATCACCTGCAAGGCATTGCTGCCGGTCGCACCTCCTCCGGTGCCCATGGGTCAGCTGCAGGGTCATCAGCCAGGAACCACCATTCACCAACGTTTCACTCCTTTAATCCTGGAACGTTTCCTGGTGGCGGAGCAGTGACAGGGACGTCTCCCTGTCACCCCCTGCAGCTGACGGGCCTGACTGACAGCTGTTACCCCCTGTTGCTGTTTTGGGGTTAGGTGTTCTTTCCCCAGCACTTGTCCTTCCTCCTCAGCCAAAGCCAAAAGCTCCCCTTCTCAGCCTCCTCTGCAAGCTCTTTGGTTGCTTTCTTGAGGTTTCCTCCGGTCACTCCTGCATCCTTCAAGAAGCGTATGGTTGACATCCCCACAAAGCCTCGGCATCCGACCTCCACTGGGTAGATGGTGGTCCTCCAGCCAGCCTCCCGGCACTCAGCGGCAAGGTTGGAGTACTTGGCCTTCTTCTGCTCAAAGGCGGCCTCAATCCCCTCCTCCATTGGCACCGTGAGCTCCACGAGGTGCACGGATTTCGCCTTGGTGGACCAAACCACTATGTCGGGCCGGAGAGATGTGGTGGTGATCTCAGTGGGAAAGCGGAGCTGTCTGTCTAGGTCGACCCTCATGTCCCACTCCTGGTCGGGGGCAAACGGCCTGGATGTTTCTCTTGGCCTGGTGTTTCTTCTTCCCCCACCCTCAGTGACAAAGCTGATGTGGTTCCCTACTGGTGGTGACTCTTTGCTGCCCAGTCGCTGCCCCTCAAGCACCTCAGCCAGCTTCCTCAGGACCTGGTCGTGGCGCCACCTGTAGCGTCCTTGGGAGAGTGCGATCTTGCAGCCTGACAAGATGTGCTGAAGGCTTGCGTTAGGCTCACTGCAGAGTGGGCAGCTCTCCTCACTCCCGAACCACTGGTGAAGGTTCCGCGGACAGGGAAGCGTGTCGTAGGTTGAGCGGACAAGGAAGCTGAGTCTTGCCTGTGGGATCTTCCATAGGTCTGCCCACCTGATGTTTCTGTTAGCTACTCCTTCCCAGGTTGTCCAGCTACGGCCTTGATCTTGTAGCGCTCTTCCTCCGTCCTTGTCACCTCCGCCACAACCATCTCCTTCCTCTCTTTGCGGCTGGCCTTGGACCAGAACCGTGGCGCTTCCCCCCACCCTAGTCCTGCTCTTCCTGCCTGGACTCTGCCGACAATCTCTTGATGTTGCAGTCGACCAATGGCTCGGTCGACTTCAGTTTTGGCGTTCCACTTCCGGCCTGTGGGAACCTTGGCATTTGCATTCCGTACAGTCTGGTCGGTGGACTCTCTCAACTCGAGGACAAGCCTGGTCTTTTCCTGCATGTATCCCAAACTGATTGATTGTAACGGCAGCTGTAGTGTGTTCCTTCCAAAGAGGCCCGTTTCAGAGAGGCACCGTGGCAGCCCCAACCACTTTCGGATGAATGAGTTGGCTTTTCCATCCATCTTACTTGCGGTGGATGAGGGGATCTCACTCATTTTCAGCGGCCACATCACCCTCCTGTAGAGTGTGAACTGGTAGCACCAGACTTTGAACTTCCCAGGGAGCTGGCTTCGGTCGATCTTTGCCAGTCCTTCTGAAAGCTGCTTCATGACGCTTCGTCCCATCTGTCTTCCGAAAGCTCTGCGGTGTACTGTCTGCCAAGGCTTCTAATGGGTTGCTCAGAGAGGAGTGGGATTTTCTCTCCCCCTACAACGAAGATGGCACTGTCGCTTCGGACTCCTCTTCTGAGGGACAGGCTCCGTGATTTTGAGGGCTTGATCTTCATTCGTGCCCACGACATCAGCTCATCCATTCTTTTCAGCAGTCTCGATGTACATGCTGCCGTCTGAAGGAGGCTGGTGACGTCGTCCATGTAGGACCTCAACGGGGGTAGTCTCTGCCCGGATGGTAACTTGATCCCTCCAACCATCTGTCTTGCTCCGATGAGGATAACCTCGAAGGCAGCCACAAAAAGAATTGGAGAGATTGCACAACCCATAGCGATTCCTACCTCGAGCCGATGCCAACCGGTGGTGAAGTCTTGGAGGCTAAAGCACATCTGCAGGTCATTGAAGTAGGATGCTACTGTGTTCTTGATGCAGGAAGGTATGTGGAAGAACTCCATGGCGTAGTTGATCAGCTTGTGTGGGACTGATCCATACGCGTTGGCAAGATCAAGCCAGACAACATGCAGGTCACTTTTCTCCCGCTTGGCCTTCTGGATCTGGTCCCAGATCATTGTGGAGTGCTCTACGCACCCTGGAAAGCCTGGGACTCCCGCTTTCTGGCAGTTGGTGTCTATATAGCCATTCTCTAGCAGGTAGTTGGTCATCCTTCTGGCCAAGACTGAGAAGAAAATCTTCCCTTCTACGTTCAGTAGTGCGATGCTTCTAAACTGGCTGATGTCATTGGAGTTCTCTTCTTTGGGGATGAAGACCGCAACAGCTCTCTGCCACTCTGATGGAATTACCTGCTTTTTCCAGGCAGTTCTCATAAGGTACCATAGCAGCTCTAGTACCTTGGGACAGTTCTTGTAGAGCTTACAAGGGACTCCATTGGGGCCAGGTGATGATGAAGACCTTGCCTTCTTCACGACTTGCCTGACTTCACTGAGCTTGGGGGGCATGATGTTGAACTCAGCACTCGGTGGTGCGGGTCGTGGTACGTACCCAGGTGTTCCTAGTGGGACGTTCCTTGCAGGATCGCTGTACTGCCCGCTGACATGCTGTTCAAGTTGCTCCCTGGTGGTTTCGAGCTTCCCGCTCTTCTTCTCCTCCAGCAGCTGTCTGGCATGCTTGAAGGGGTCTTTGAAGAAGCTGGCTCGTTCTTTTTGTTTCCGTTTGCTGCGCTTGCGGATACGTTCTGCTCGGCGGAGCCTGGAGAGTCTTTGCCTGATCTCCTCCCAAAGGGCTTTCAGACCCTCTTTCTCCTCCAGTGTCGCCTTCCTCCAGTTCTTACGGAGTTGTCTGCGCCTTCGCACAAGGTGGTCGATCTCCATCTCCCTCCTTCCCTTCTCTCTTTGTGTGGTCCTTTGGCTGGAGGTTACTTCACCGAACCTGTCGCTGCAGGCCTGGTATAGGATGTCCCCGAACTGGTTAAGCTTGGCTTCCACCCCTCCGTGCAAGGATGCCTCCAGCGCCTTTACCAGGTCAGTGTCCAGTGTTCTCCATGCCTCGGTCTCGTTTGATTTTGGCCACTTGAGCTTACTCCTTCTGGTTGGTTTCTTGGTCTCTGCTTGAGGCTCTGTCCTGTGTGAGTTGGTTGCGAGTGGGTTTTGGTGCTCACGTGGGGGCTCACCCTCCACCAGTGGGCCTTCTTCCTCTGTGACATCTATGCCTTGTGCAACTTTGGGTCCATTGGCACTGTGGTTTTTACCCTGGCTTTCGGTCCCACTTGTCTCACCTGCCGAAGCAGTGCAAGGTTGCTGTTGGCCTTTCTGACCACACTTTGCCTTAAAGAAATAAATCCAGCTTTCTTCTGCAGGGTAAAAAAACCCTGGTTATGGTACCTTTGTGATCAGTGCTAAATTTTGGAGACCTTTTTCTACAGGCATGCTATGGCTGCTACCTTAATGACCCTCTTTATAACACTCATCAGTTCTTTCTGTGCAAAAGCTGAACGGCCCTCTCTTATTGGGATGCTGCCTTCTTAAATTATCTGCTGCACTTTTCTTTTGGCTATTGACTGGTTTACACTTTACAGCTTGGAGCATATGTTGTTGGTCTTTATGCACAATCCACTCATAGCTCAATACAAAGGAAATCAAAGCCCTGGTTTCTTTGGGTCATTGTGGATCCTTAATTTTTCACTTCTTGACCTCTGATTGAACCTGTTTTACTTGACTTGAATTGTTTTGGCATTACTTATTAATTGCATGTCTGTTTAAACTGATTATCTTTCTTTAATGCTGTTTTATTATTTGTTTGTCTTGAATTTTATTGTTTCTTTTGTATTCTTGATGTGATTGTAAATTAGGGCTTACCTCCCAATGATTTTTTAGCCTGAATAGAGACAATATACTGTATTTAATATATATATATTGCATTTGAATAGTTATTCATGCAGCTATGTGGGGGTTATAGGGACCAACCAATAAGTCCAGTCTTCTTGTCCATAATTCAAACAAAGAAGTGAATCACATAGAAGCTTCCTTGCTGTGTGACACAAATGGTTCATACCTAATCCACATAACCACAGGCTTCAGGATTAAGGACAATCACATTTGACTCTGCAGCTCTTAACCACAGGGAATTTAAAGAAACTAAACCTTGAACCACATGGCAAAAATCCCTGTGCATAACTTCACTCACCGGGAGCTGATGCAATATTTAGAAAATACCATCATTTGGGTATTGGGACAAATAATGAGGTCAAGAAATGATCAAATGGGTAGGATTTAGTCATGAAAACCTCATTGATATTAGTGTTATGGATGGGATCAGTTGAGATGAGTCAGGAGAAACTGATCATGACTTATTTTGCACCCATCACCTTCAGTGGTCTGACAGAATCAGGAAGAGGGAGGTAAAAAGGACGAGGATGGTCCGCGGCAGTTACAAGCTGCAGTTTTCTGCTAGAACCACTCGAGCTAATTGAGCGTCTGTGACAGGAAGCCCCAACGGGATGTCGCTGGCCACTGCTAAAAGGGTCAGGAGATTCAGAGTGAAGCGGGACGTGGAAACAGGAAAGCTGTGTAAAGCCTCGTCTGTGTCCTCTCGTGGGACGATGATAAAAACTTGAGTGGTGGCTGTCTGGCATTGACACTGATGTCCTTTCAACAGCTTAAGCTCCAGAACAACAAAATGAGGACAGAGGAGGGGATCAGAGTTTGAAAAATGTTAATTTTTGACGCTGAGTAAAGAATCTCTTGTAATGTATCAGAGCGAGCTGATATCCGACCCTAATCCAGCTGTCACCTGATCATTCATTTTTCCATTCAGCACTAATCTGCCTCTCTGACGTGTTGTTTTATTAATGCACGTCTCTATGTGTATCCCCAGGACCTGTCCACTCTGCAGTGTGATGTGTGTATCCTGGTCTTCTCAGTGACTGACAGGCGAAGTTTCCATCGCACCGCCCAGCTCCGCCTCCTCCTCAGGGAGTCTCAGCCGCACACACCGATCATCCTGGTGGGCAACAAGAGCGACCTCGTACGCTCCCGTGAAATCAGCGCAGAGGGTAGGTGGAGGAAGGGATGGGGTCTGTGATGGAAAAACTGTCATACATGCACGCAATATGCTGTTAACCGGAGACGTCCCCTGAACTGTGGTTGTCTAGTTTTAGCTGAGCGAGCATAAAATAGCCTGGCAGGCCTGTCAAGCTTCTGATTTCTCTGCTCTTTGAAGAGGTGTGCATGAGGACATGAGAGGAAAGATTTCCAGTGTTTGGAGTGTGGGTCTCTCTGTCTGTTCCAGCTTTTTGTTAAAACCATAAAACCAGATAGTGATGTACTCAGGCTGTTTGGGGACAGAGGTAAAGATAATAAAACTGGCACCTGCAGTATGCCATGAGGCACAAAAAGTTGTGATAAACAAAGATCAGAAGACCTCTCTGTCAGCTCAATTTTCTTGGTTTTCTTGCTGCTCTGGGATCATATAGTAGCTGCACTGGCCTGTTTCCAGCCTGACTAAAACAAAGGTGAGCTGGTTAAAGTTTTAGATGGGAAACCTAAAACATTAGAGATCCTGGAGGTTACTAAAAGGAAACTGTTTATCAAACCTACAGCATTCATTTCACATTTTAAGGCAAAAGTAATAAAGGGGGGGGGGGATCCTCCTGCAGTCAATTTTAAGCATCTAACCCTTAATTCCCGGCAATCTGGTGAGTAATTATGCAGCAGTCTGGCGTAAAAAATTCATGACGTTAAAGGAAAAACATTTTTTATTGAACGTTATTTAAAAAGGAGGAATGCTACATCATGATGTAGACATCTGAGAGGTTATTACCTTATTATTTTTACTATTTTATTCACTGTAAATACATCCTGGTGTCACTTTCTCAATTAAGGGACATCCAAATGGAATCTATTTTGCCTTTATCGAATTTATAAAGATGTTTAGAGGACACTTTTATCATTGTATCAACTGGAGGGACATGTAGTGTGAATTTCTTTGTTTATTCACTTAAGAACTCAACAGGGAACAGTTCTTAACAGCTTTTCCACATGAAGGACAAAAAGATGATGTGTTTAACTTTACCACTGAAAGAGCATCCAGAGTGCACTGCTTCACATTTGATCCTCTGATAGGACATCATAGACTGTATATACTATGGACTACTTGGCTCTGCCCTCTGCCATTATGCCATTATATGAATTTGAAGCCAAATTGTTCCCAGTATTTTAGGGATTTTCTCCACTTCCTGGAACCACCACTTGCGCAGTAGTATTTAATGCATTTGGCAGAACTCACAAGTTTTGTTGTTTTTTTTGTTGTTTTTTTTTTTTTTTCAAATTGATGGTTGCTCTTGTTGGTCTTTGAAAATTGTTGTTTATTTGGTTGGACATAGTTGCAGCAGTTTAGGTTTCAGAACTAACACAGAGAAAAAGATGTCAGTTGCCAGATAATATGAAAGAACCACTATCTACTTGCCAGATCTAGCAAAGAAGAGATAGTGTATTTATGTTGCCAGGTCTGGTCTCAAAAAGACAGATAGTGGAAGGTATGTGGGCTGGGAAAAATGACTATATGTTGTAGATTTATGGGCCGTGTAATCCTAGGAACACATTAAGGGTTCTTAAACTCTTAACAGATGCTGAAAATATGGGAGAGACCCCCACACATGACAACACATGATGGCAGATTAGACAGATATGATCAACACAGCATCCCACACTCAAAACTGGAAATTTACTGGCAATATCAAACCAACATCATCTTCTGAGCAGATCAGGGGAAGTAAAACCAGTTTAAACCAACCTCACACCACAGAAAAATAAGTGGCAAGACATTCTGCTTTACAAATATAAAAAATTTGAGGCATTGCTGACTTTGCTCTGAATGGATAATCGGACACACATCAGTCATTTATCTCATACAAAAGAAACAAAAAACCCTGTTCACCTCTAGAACGAACACGGATTGATTTTTCTGTTGTGAGGAGGCTCATCTGTCTGCAGCTTTGTCCTGGTCTCTGTTGGTTTGGGAAAGTTCAAGAAAGCTCAGACAAAATCATTATCTGTAAAAGCATAGAGGTGCTCAGTAAACACAGTCCTTTTTAAAGCCTTTTTCTCTTGAAATATTTGCTGAGAAAACTGCCATCAATGAAAGCACCGGCTATCAAAAATGTTTCAGTGAATTTAATTTGACAAAATGGAAAAATGATTACTAGGAGAGCACAAAACTCTAGGACACCATTATTCTGTTTCCGACAAATCCATTCAACCTGCAGAAGTTGTTTTCTTTTTATAATTTTGGGTTGTTGTGTTTGTAAAGGTTGTTATCTTAAGAGTATTTAGCCTTCACATCATGCTGCTTTTAAAGCAATTTGTACTTTAAAAACTCCACTCAGAGATCCCTCACCATCACCTGCCTCACGTCATCCAACTTTTGAAGGATAGTTAATAATATCCACATATTCAACAACACAAATTTGACATGAAGAAGTGATTTCATTTCACTCTCACTGGTTTTTAATCAGAAGTGATTCTGCTAATCGCTTTAGTAACGCACCATCACGCTGTGGTCTTCATCTCCTAAAGCACTGATGAGAATCAGTCTGTATGTGTGTATTCTGCGCCTTCAGCTGTAAACAGATTCAACTTTTGGAAGTAAATCATTTTGGAGGAAAAAAGGAGAAAATTGATTTATATAAAAGAATTTTACAGGTTGATTTTATTTACATCTGGTTCAAAGTAGTTGTAATAAAACTAAATGAGAATACATAGAACAATAGACATCAAAAGTCAGGGAGATATGTCTCTTATGTATCTTTTCAAGGCTTTTACCAGAGCTCTCCTTTCAAAATAAAGTACTGGCAGTAGTTAAGGAGGTAGCGTGGTCATCCAACAACTGGAAGGTTGGTGCTTCAATTCCCCTCTAATCCTAGTCTGTTCTTTGTGTCCTTGGGCAAGATACTTAACCTACCTTGCTTCAAGTGTGTGTCATTTGCTGGTGTATGATTTGTATGTATGTCGCTCAGGATAAAAGCGTCTGCTAAATGACATTGTAATTGTTAAGTTGCTGGAAATGTTAAATAGTCAGCCAGTGGAAAAAATACTCCTCTGTGCCACTATTATGTTGTATTAGAGGTTAACCAACACTGTTTTTCAGCGGTCAGCCATTATTTGTTCATGAGACCTACAATCAGTATTTGGAAGTGATATGAATTGACAGTAAAAAATTTTAACTTTCTATGAATCCAAAATTTGGGATATTACAGACTTCAACACAAAACTTTGCTTAAATGCCTTAAGCAAATGTTGGAATAAAACCCAAAACATGATCAAAAATGTACAATGCTGCTGTGCAAGTGGTGGTTCCAGGAAGTGGAGAAAATCCTGGAAATACAATTCAGACCAATTCAGCTTCAAATTCGTATATTGACAGAAGGCGGCATCAAGTTGTCCATAGTATATACAGTCTATGGTTATGTCACACAATCATGTGTTATCCAGCCAATCAGATAATGTTGTAGGCGGGGCATTAGAGACAAAATGGTGCAATGAGACCGACTCAAAGGGGAAGATAGTCCAGCTGCAGAGCTAAAGAAGAGCACTTTCTAACTGAATTGATCAGGCAGCCATCTGTTTAAAAGCCCTCACAGATAGCCAGCAGAACTGTGACTAACAGCTCTGGTAATCAGCCAAAGCGATAATTGGTCTAACTATACAGCAATTAGCAAAAATGAAGCATATTATCATCATTGATTATTTATACAGTGCCAAACTGCACATTACAGGGGCACATTGTATTTATCTGGGAAATAGATATTCCCTCTGTTTTTCTTCTGATGTTTGGAGACAAATGTCTTTCAATATTGAGAAAAACTTTACAAAAAAAAATGTTCTGTTTTTTCAAGTTAAACAAACAAACAAAAAAAAAAAAATCAAACATCATGGGAAGCTCTCATTTAAGCCACTTCAGGAAGCAACACTGTGTCAGGTTTAAATCAGAACTATTCTGTTGTTGTCCAGGACTTTTGGAGATACTCATGTTTTTAAGTAACATGCTATTTCCACTGTTTAGTGTAAGCAAAAGTTTCTTGAATTTACACTGGTACTTTAGGACTTTGTAGTATTTGCTCACCGTGAGTTGAAGGACAGGGCCAGCTGAGCAAATACTGCATGTTTCATGTGTCTAAATAATGCATCTGAAATGCATACAGGCTGGCTGCACGTTGACTTCGGATAATACTGTACACCTAAGGCCATCTTATCAACTTACAAAAAAATAGTAAAGTCTTTTTTTCTCTTTATAATTATTTTTATATAACAAAAGTATCAAAGATGAACTCCTAAGCCATCCTGTAGTTTGCATCTGCACAGACACAGCCAACAATGAGCTGCTGAATGATGCAAGAAAAGAAACACAAAAGGCTGACTTCAAATGCTCTTTGTAGACTTCTTTTGAAAAGCTTTAAAGCAGCTTTTGATTGTAAAATCTCTAATGGGAATGTTCTGACACATATTGATGCTTCTTTTACTCACAGCAACAGATAACAGTGCCAAAAGCCCAAAATGTAAATGTAGGCACAGACTCACATTTCCTGAATGAGAACAATAGTGTGCAGTGCTATGTCTGTCTCTTTCCCTGACTTTCTTTGTTTCCGTTCATCTCTATTACACTATAAATCTTCCTCCAAGCAGACACGATCGTCATTAGTCAAACTCTGGTGGGATCTGTCTTTGATCAGCAAAATCAATCTCTCTCTGTTTGCAGTATCCAGGGATAAAATCTGTGTTTGCACACTCATTATATGGGAATAAATCTTCATCATCCATTATGGTCGTAAAGGGCAGAAAACACACAGAGCATGTAGGTTTTTATGCTTTATTGTTTAACAATAAAACTATCTTGGGAGTAATTTGGCTTTATTTTCATACTGATGCTGAAAAAGACTCTTCAATGAAAACAGATCAACCACACTGGTCACAGAAAAGAAAGAAAGAAAGAAAGAAAGAAAGAAAAGTCTGAACAAAGCTGCAGCCATGGTAAAAATAACACAGAAAATCCATACCACCTGCTCCTGACAGACATATACCCTTCATGTATACCCTAAGTCCATTCAGACATACACACAACAGTTGTGTTCAAGTGTGCAGTGGTAGGAGGAGCTCCTATCATTGCACACTCCTGCCACACTGTGCTCTCACCCCGACCGGGGATCAATCTAATTTCAGCTTCAATTACAATTACAATCAACTATGATTAGAGACACCCCCAACCCACCCCATGATCATGGATTTCTGATAATCAAGATTGAATGATTACAGCGCTACCTGCCATGATGCCCTCTTTCTGTCCTATAAATATAAGGTAAATGAAACACACCCTCCTTATGTGCCTTCAATGCACAGTGTGTGCTCTATCTCTCCTCTCAAACAGCCAAAGATAAAGGGGTAACCATGTTTTAGTTAGGGAGCAGAAAGGAAGTTGCAGATGCTGCAAACATTAACTGTAGTTGCTCCAAACTACCATGCAGCCAGAGGTGGAGAGAGGAGCAGGAGGAGGCAGGTATGTGTGTGTGCATGCGTGCGTGCGTGCGTGCGTGCGTGCGTGCGTGCGTGCGTGTGTGTGTGTGTCTGAAATGCAGAGGGACAGAGTAAATCACGATGATTACAAACAGGCATGAGTTTTCATGAACCAACAGCCGTCAGGTTCAACAGTGACTCTAGTTTTAAGAAAAACTAAGCCTTCAAATTCCAACATTATAAAAATGACTGAAAACTGAATGAAATGTTGAATCATGTTGACAGGCTGTGATAAAATGAAGGTGGTGAGAGAGCTCAGATCCTTCAGTTGTTTAGTAACATTTTAAAATGTGTACTTCTATAGTGAAAGTCTGACTTTCAATTTAGTAAGTATGATCATGAAAATCCAACCTCCCAGGGTGAAGAGGTGAGGTGTGCGACCTTTCAGGACTATTATATTTGAGATTCATATTTCCTCTTTATCAGATGGGGATCCATAATTCTCTTAGTTTCATTTTTCATGGCTCTTTCTTTCTTTTTTTTTGTGAAAGAATCTCCAACAGAACAGGAGGGCCTTTTTGAACAAAGTGGAAATGGATCTGCAGAAATAATATCAATAAATCATTCATTTGTTGGAACAGCCCTTCTCCAGATTGAAGGGTATCCAAACAGAGAGGGATATTATGATTTTATCTTTCTTTCCTTTTTTGAACAGGAGCTGAAATCTATCAAAGAGGATCAGGGCCACCTAAAATTATACTTTAGTTTATAGGTTAAAGTAAAATCGCTGACTTTTTTTGACGTAACTATTTTTCTGATGAACTGAATTCTTTTAAGTTTAACTTGAAGTGGCACTTACTTTAGAGGAGACATCATCTTCAAAATTGTTTATTACCCCTTTGGGAGGACAAATAACAGTGTCCCTGTTTATCTGACATTTCAGCAGCTTTTTTCAGTGCTGCTCTGAAATTGTCTTTCATTCACTAAATTCAAGGCGACGCTTCGTCGCAGCCAGCAGACCAACTTAAACGCACTTCACACCTTAAATTTTCTTTGTGTCAGTTTTCTATTTTATATCTTATTGATGTACTGTACAAGTTTAGGTGGTGTTTTGTGGCATAAAGTGTCACTTTTTTGTCTTTTATAAATCAGATATATCATTCACTGTGAAACCTAGTAATAGAACTCTGTCATCAGCGTGTTGTGAATTGCCTTTTCTGATATCTGCCCCCTCCGATGCTCAAAAGCATCAACATTTTACACAAAGGGACATAAATTCACACCGCTGATGGTCTGGTTTGCTTTTATAGTACATACTAAGGCATCAACATCAATAACAACTTCAACATGTCTCATAACCAACTAAAAACTCTTCACATGAGTTTTAAGCAACCCTATCTTTGAAATTCAATCACTGTTAATTCAATATATCTTGGGTTCATAATACTTCAGTGGCACAGATTGCAGCTGTCTTCAGTTTGACTTGCTAGATACAGTAAAACTGAGAATCAGCAGAAACAGATGGACAGGCTCTTCACAGCTGAAACAGACTGCTTGGAGAAGGTGTCCAGAGAAATCCTGGTACATGTGAAACACGAACTGTACTCATGCTGCGAAACCATTTAAATCACATATACTTACATGAATTTAAAGACAAAGCCATTGCAGCATTAAAACTCCACTGAAGTTAACACCACCTTGTCATAATTCTTTTTCTCTCTGTCTGAATATATTTGCTCCTCACAGATGAATCTAACAAACCTGTCTTATTGTTTCCCTGTACACCAGTAAACGGTACCACACAGCCTTTGTATTCCATATGCTCAGTTCCATTATATCCAGTCTATGTGACACCAGGGGGTTTAAACAGAAGTTTAGCAGTAAAGAAAGGCTGTTTTTGTTTTATGGTGGAGCACTAAAGTAAAAACGCTCAATGAAAAAAGTTTAAAAGTTAGAAGTCTGGGAATTAAGTAAGACTTGTTTATTTCTATCCTCTTTGTGACTTAGCTGATCTCTGACTTTTATAGCAGCCTGTCAGGGACATATTCCATAGTGAGCTATAACAATGTTAATTAATTCTGAAAGAATAGAGTGATGGCAAAGACATCTAGCTCAAACCCCATATTAATTCAATCTGCAGAGAGGTACTTTTATAAAGATATATATATCTTTTTATATTAGTTTTAATTAATTTTGTGACAAAGATGTTCATTTCTGACAGCATTGATAGACAACATGGAGGACGATTTTAATATTATTCTCAGTTTATTTTAAGAGCATAATACTCTTGGTTCCTAATGGCTAAACAGTCACCAGTAAAAAAAAAAGATACAAGAGGAGGAAAACTGTGCTAAACTAGTAAGGGATGTTAAAACACTAAAGAGGCAGGGACAGAGAGAGCCATCAATCAAATTGACAACAAAACATATACATCACTACACTCAAAAATACTACAGAAAAACACCAATATTAGGACTTCAGCTTGAATGAAGATGTAAAATTGAATGTAATTTATGTCAGTGAGGCCCTAGAGATTGACAAGACCTTTCCCCTTTGAGCTTTTCTCACCCTGTCAGATTTCATTTAGAATAACATCCCCATTAGTTTACATTATCCCTTACATATTTCAAGGGCCAGACAAAAAAAACAACAACAATATGCCATATTATTGCATATTAATACAGAATTTAGATTTGAATGCAACAATAAGGGTAGAAATACAGTTTCCATGTGAAAATAAGGAGACCTGTCATTTTCACTTTTTATCTGTGTCAGTCTGAGACACCTCTACAGTAGCTTTGCTCAAAAGAAGCTAAAAAAAAGATCTCTTTTTCCTACACTGGTGTCAGTGCAAACAAACACTCATTGCAGTCTGCTTTTTCAGCCTCTGTCTGAAGTGTTTTGTTTCTGGCTGCTTTTGTAGTGATGGAAAGTCAGACACAGCTTATGGGTGTTACTTTTCACACAGCTTTATCGCCACAAAACAAATGCCTTTTTAGAAAATGTCTAGGGCCAGCTGTTAGCACCTATACTTAACTCCTCATTTTTGCATATTTTAGCTATTGTTACATAAGCTGCTTCTATAAGGTGTTGTTAAGTGACCTTTTAAGATGAGAAACCCCAAGATTTGAGCAACAGTTGAGATGCAAATCCAGCTTGTATTGTCCTTTGTTTACAAAGCAGTCATCAGTGAAGTAGTGCAAACAGCTATGATGTGGCTGTTGTCTGTAAAATATAAAATCCTTCCTATGTTTCTGGTGTCTTAGAAGTTGTGGCCATATCTTCAAACAATCTGTTGAGGAAACCTGGAAAATAAGTCAGGGGTTACACTGCCATGTGTGAGATTTAGTATTAAGATCCACTTTTTTAACATTATTTATCTAAGTACAAATCAGCAGAGTAGACCTTGAGACCTTCAACTTAGAAATATTATTCCCAGCACAGCCAGACAGAGAGATGAGATCTAAACGATTTGCTGCAGCACAACAAATATATCAACCGTACTGAACAATCAAAAGAGCCAGAGCGGAAAATTAGACTAGACTAGACTAGACCTACTTTTTGAGGAATATGCAGCATTTACTTGCTTATCTCAAGCTCACCTCACAGCATGTACATGAATTTTAACATTAAATGTTAATTGATGAAAACCCAGTCAGTGGTTTGTAAGGTATTGTACCGACAGAAGAAAGTGAAATGATCAAAGCAGCTCACAGCTTTGTGCACAGACATCATCCAGAGAAACTTTTTGATGGTGTTAATGTTCAGGTAGCTGTGATGGTACAGTCCTCACAGAACTTTTGGCTTGTTTGGATTCTGGTTATGTAACCAGCTCCAGTTTTATGCTCTCAAAAGAGGCTGCAATGCTGAGAACAGTCTCTATTCATGAAAGACCCAAAATGTTGTTGTTTGCTTGTTTCTGGGACACATTTTTGCTTTTACAAGCAAAGTGATCATGCGAATAGATGCTGACAATTTTCTATGTGATAACCTTTGACTGCAAATCAGTGACGATATCACTGATTGCTGGCCATCAGCAAAATTTGGATGACAACTTTGGTGGGTGGACAAAGTCACAGAATGCAAGCCAAGACACAGCATGAATCATCTTTGTTGGTTTTCAAGAAAGAAAATACAAAAGACTTAATCGGCGGCTGCAGGCACCATTGGCAGCAGTACCAGCAGTTTACATTTAGGGATTTGTTTGAAATCAAAATAAACAGTCAAAAATGCAGTAAATTATCAGAAGTCAGAGATTACTTTGTACTGACCAAACCTCATGTTGCAAGAAACTGAAATCTGAATCATGTTGTCAAAACAAGTGTCCCTGCAAAATAGAAACACTGTCTCTCACTTTTAGATGAGTCGAAGCCAGAACTGCTGCAATAGTTTCCACTGAGGTGCAGACTGAGAATAAACACTTTAAATTGATAAAACAGACTCAAATTAATGTTGGCGTCAACAGAAAATAAGACCTTTAGCCAGTGTAAGTTTCAATAACAACAATTATGACAATAAACATTCACCAATGACCTTTTTTTCCATAATAAAAACCAGACAACGACAAGCTAAAATGCTTAACTTAAAACAAATATAGGTTTTGTTTTTGTAAATGGCTCTCTGACCAGACAAAATTTTTTTAGGTGGACTGGTGAGCATTTTATATTCAATTATCATTTCCCTACTATAGATTTAATCTGTCACCTAAAATATGAATAATTCATTCCTGCAACAGGCTGAGTGAGTTGAGGGGTCCAGTGTTCATTTTGTTTTTTGTCTGCAACAAGTGCGCTGTAGTCCTCTCTGCCTCCATGCATCCTTATTGATAAAGACAGACCAGCTACTACAGTGACTTCAATGTAATGTTTGATGTTTTTTCTACACTTTTAACAGCTCTGTTTCTGAACCTCATTTGATCCTAGTTTGGAAACAGTAAAAAACAAACTTCATGAGATGTTTCAGAGCAGAGATCAAATTTAAACTTTGAAGGTGAAGATGTGGCTGGGATAGCAGTGAACTGTCTGTAGTGTTTGTCTGTTCATGGGTGTTGCTTGGCCTTGAGGACTCTAGGGGCTGAGCCCAGACCCCCAACCATAGTCTGTACATAGAATGGACGCTGTCTGCCTCCTCTCTGGGTGAAGCCACTGCGAGAACAGCACCCTCTGGTGATGGGCTGCAGTATAGGTCATAAATCTCGTCTCCTCCAGCAATCCCTAAGGAGCTGTGGACAAACTTTAGAAATTAATTAAGCAGAATATAAATTTTGCTCCCCCCTGCTTGTGATGTTGACATGTAGTTACTGGAAGACTGGATTGTGTTCAAGTCCTCTTTTTTCTGTGCAGCTCCGTTTTTAAAAGTTATTAGGGGGTTCATGTTTTCTATGATTGGCATTGCATAGCTCACTTGGGGGATACGCTGTTTGAGCTGAGTGTCATTTGAGTGGAATTTGTGAGGGGTCTTTGTTGTTTAATGCTAACAAATATCTGACAAAATAATTTCTTATAACATTGAAATGATTTAATGCAACAATTTCAACGCAAAATGAATAAACCATATAAATCTAGGAGCCAGCTTTGGTCTTTTTATATCCTGGCGTGCGACACTGAAGACAGGTCTTGGCAGAACGAATCAGAGAATAAAGAAACACGCTTTGTTCTGAATCAATTCAGCATTGGTCTGAACGTACCATACAGTGGCTGTAATTTTCTGGACTTTGTGAAGGAATGTTTTATGCATCACTGGCAGGCTGTCCCACTGTGTGAATTTCATTAATGCTTTAGATAGACTGTGGATGCAGTCAAAAGGAAGAAAGACTGACAGTTTACACGGTTTGGCCTTGATCTGAACTTATGTTCACATTTTATTCAGTGTATAAATTCAACACTTCATGGCCGTCCTGCAATTCTATCTGACCCTCCAATACAGCTGCAGCTTTTGGAAGCTATACATCCCTTTCTTTCTAATCCTAAAGTAAGGTTTCACCCCTCTGTCCTTGTGCTTTCCATACTTTGTTTTTTTTTTTTTCCTCTACAGATCGGGCATTTCTCTGTTTGCCTGTATTATCTCTCTCTTCCAGGCCACTGCTGCTTTTACCATCTGTGTGTATGTTTGTAGAGGCCATGCATACATACACAGACACAGAGGACAAACAAGCAGCTGTACACTCTCATCTCCCTCCATCTTTTCTGCCGGATGTTTCAAAGCAAGGGCTGAGATAAGAGGAGCAAAGAGAAGAAGATTGGCAGAAGGAAGGGCGAATGAATAACCACAGTGTGGGTTTCACTTTGAAGTGATATAGCATGTGGACGTCATTGAGTATATATATGTGTGAGCGCTTGTTTTTTGTCCTTGAAAGAAGAAACACTTTGAGTCTTCGGACCCTCAGGCTGAAGATATTTCCTCAAAGACAGGCTCTAAAGCGAGTGTCACATCAACACACTGCTGTTTCCATACATCTGTGAGGTAGTCTGAACTCCATTATGTTGGCAGAGTACATCTCCATATCTCACCCCGCTGGTATTAAGAGAGGTTTTCCTACAACTGTTTAATGAAAGATCCTTCCCTGCTCATTTTGTCAAATTCTGCCCTTAGATGGAAAATCAGAAATTACCTGCTAGCCGCCCTGGGGAGGCTTTAACGTTAAATTGTCTCATCTTCAATCTGTAGAAAGTGTCCGTGACTGAAGGTGAGTTCCACTTTGAGATGCAGTCACAGACTATGTTATGGCTTCTTACAAGAATCTGTCAAAGTAATTGCAGTCGTCACTTGACTCAGCTCTTACTTTTAAAGCGTTTTGATGTTTCCAGAGTCAAGTGACTTTCTGTAATTTGAAACGAGAATCCACAGTCATCTCTGCTGCTCCCCTGTGCTTTACTTTATGTGCTTTATGTTGGTGATATTCTTTGTAGCAGGGATCTGGACAATAGAGACTGGCAGGTGGAGCTGCAGTATTGGTGTCCACTCCCTCAGTCAAACAAAATACACATTCAACCTGAAACAGCAAAGAGCAGACCCTTACTTCAAACATAACCTTGAAGTTAAAGTTTCTTGAGTCTTCACAGTGCTTTGTGTTCATTATTTTCATCCTTGCTGCCCTTCCCTTAATGGAACAACAACTTTAAACTAGTTCAGGTATTTCACTCAAGCTACACTGACTTTTCATATAACATGCAACAAACAAACCCTCTAACTCTTTCTGCCCACTCCCTCAGCTCTATTATTTCCTCACTTCCCTGCGACTTTCAGCATCAGCACCTCCCCGGCATCCACCTGCAAGCTCCAGCTTGAGGTTCCAGAACAATCAATACAGTGTGAACTGTCTTACTGAACTGTGTACTCTGCATTAAAGCAGCCCCATTTGTCAACAGGGCTGTCAATCATTGCATTATACACACACACACACACACACACACACACACACACACACACACACACACACACACACACACACACACACACATATATATATGTGTGTGTTTGTGTGTGTACATAAAAGAACACAATAAAAGCTTAATTTAACTTTAATTTAACTTAATTTAACTAATTTTGAACCACACTCAGGAAAGTCTGACCATTGTCTACATAAGAAAATTAATGAAACAAATGACACTTAATTTAATGAAATTAATTTTAATTACTTTAGCTTTGATTAAAAACTACTGTTTTAATGAAGTAAATTGAAACAACTCGGCACAACTTGTCTTGTGTACAGCAATTAGAACCAAATAGTTCCCATTAAGTGGCTTTTGTTAATGATTTGGCATTGTTGAGTTTACTGATAAAATATAATTAAATTCTGCTCAGTGATTTTCAGCTGTTATTTTTCAAACAAAAAAAAAATTAAAAAAACAACTGATAAATGATTCAAATTTGATTAGATCAACATAATATTATACTGAACAGCATACAGTTGTTTTTTTCATGTAAAGGTTACTAGTATTTATTTTGTAAATATTAATTCAGCCCAGTCACACTTCTCAGAGTGCACGTTATGTGTACTTTTTAAGTTTGGTTCACCCCTTTTGTTAAAATAGAGGAGACTCACTTCATGACCACTGCAGCCAGTTTGCAGTTGGAGCTCCAGGCGGTTAAGCTTCACTTTTTGGGAGCTGTCATGCTGTCCAAAGGTTAGACTCTCTGCTCTTGCTAAACCTGCTTAGTCAACCCAAACAGTTTGTGCTGTCAGTATTGATCATATGAAAGAACCTGTCAGTATGATATTGGTTAGTTGCCATACCCAAGAGAGACTTCTGTAAAGAATTAAAGAAAAACTTTACTTAAATTGCTTGCACACTGGGTCCTTTCTTGTCCCCTATCTTGCCTGTAATTACAAAATTGGTGTGTCTGTGTTCAGGTGTATAGACACATGGGATGCTTAAGGTCCAGTTTGTAAATTTAAGATGTTTTCCCCAGGAGATATCAGTGTTTCAGAGTGAAGGAAAGGTCAAAGATATGATTAGAACACATTGCTAACACTTTGTGTACTCTTCAAGGTTATATCAAGTTAGCCGTTGACAGCTTTTAAATCTATTGATGGACAAACCGCTAATGAAGCAGCAAAGTTTTCACACCCCTGAAACTGTTTTAATCACCTAAGGGAAACCTCATTGATTGACATGAGAAGACTCGAGCTGAGTCACAATGAAAGTTAGCTCATTACTCCTAATGTTGAGCAGACTCAGTCCTCACTGTTTTTCTTTTTGTTTTTCTTATTTAATGGCAGATTTATAAGTTCAGTGCAAGAACATATACATCTGCAACAATTTAAAAAGACTGTACAAAAGGTGAATTTAACCCAGTACTGAAGGCCATATTATTTCACTGTCACTGTGGCATGTTTGACAATAATGGGTCAAAGCAAAAGACAGCATGAGGTACAAAACAAAGTGATGCAGCTTGAATGTTATTTGCCTATTACAAATCTGTGTAGGGCTTTATGTAGACTATGAAACTTCACTTAATAAATCAATGTTGAGCCTTAATACTGAATCCATAGTGACTTAAATTCAATAAAATGTACATAAAATGTATTATAGAAATAGGTCAGAGCATGTGTATATGTAGGTCATTTCTATGTAATGTATTTTAACATAAAGCGATACGTTTTTAACATTATCCTTGATTATTTTCAGGTGGAGGGTTTCAAATGTGTTTAAAATAATATTTAGTAGTATTATCCTGGATAATAAATCCATAATCAGGTGGTGTTTTTTCTCTCACCCTTTGGGTTTTTTGGGCCTGATCCTATAGCGGGTCATTTTATTTTGGGGATCCAGTCTATGATTGCAGTCAACAGAGAGGATGAGTAAGAGAGAAATAATCCAGTCAGTGTGGAGGGTTTTCTGAAAGATGCAGGATTAAAAAAGTGTGTGTGAGTGTCTGTGTTGATTATGTTGAAGTATTCACAGCTTGGGGTCAAAACTGGTTTGTTTTCTTTTGTTTTGGGAGTTAAACAGAGGCAGCAAGTGTGAAATGTGTGCACATTGGTGCGTGCGCATGCTGTCGACTTGGGTTCGGTCACAGCTCTGGTTTGAATCTAATAACACGAGTGGAAAAAGGGGAGAGAGGGGGAGGGAGGGGAGGAATGCATAATGAGAGATGCCCATACTCAGCATATTTCCCATCCATAAAATAAATAAAAAAACAGCAGAGATGTGGTCAGCGATATGGAAATGCCCTCTCTATGTTCCTGCAGGGACTGACAGAGCTGTTGCTGTGTTCTCTCTGAAGAGACAGCATGTTTTTCGCTGATATGTGAGCCTGACAGACAGACAGACAGAGAAACACAGGCCAAAGCATCCACAGCCTGTCACTGGAGTCATAAAGTCTATTTATGGCATGTGCAGTGACACTTTTATTCTGCTATCTCTCACCTTCCCCCCCTCTGCCACATCTTTCTGTCTCCACCCATCATTCACACAAACACTTAACCTAACACACTGAGGACATGTTTGCCTTTTGCTCAATAAGGATGTACTCTGGGTATTTTCCTCAAGGTCTTGACTGCATGTAAAGATGAATGATGCATCTAGGATTCCTTATGTTGTAGCAAAATGAGGCAAAAATAACCCCCTGCAGCTGGCATTGACTGGTGAGGATTTGGAGTCAGAGCCAGAGCAAGAAATCAGCTGATGTAGCCAGGAAATTGATGTCCTACCCCTTAAACTATCAAATCACACAACCAATAAATCAGTAAAGGCCCCTCAGTTTGGCACAGTGCACTGCTTCTGATTTTGAAATTAAGAAAACAAGGTTATGCAGAGTTCAGGTTTCATTCTTATTTAGCAGCTGATCTGAGGAAGAAATGTCTTCTTATACCCAGTGGTACAGCATGAGCTGAAATATACCAGTTTTCTTATCTGGAATTTATTCTTCCAAATTGAAGCACAGTCAGAAGTTTTAACCAAAAATCATGTTACCTGTGTCATTTTCAAGGACTTTTCTTCTGCAGAGCTCCAGTAGGTCATAAGCAATTCACCTCTGAGTTGTGGGCGGAGACAGAGCTGTTTTACACACCCCTCTTCACACTCCTTTTCATGCTAGTTTGCAGCCTAACATGGTCAGTGCAGCAGAAGTGGCAGGTAATATAGGAGCTATTAAGCTCTTGAACACTGTTGTCTTTGGGGGCATGGTAAAAACTAATATCATATTTAGCTTTCTTACAAGCATTGCAATCCACTAACGCACACACTTGTTTCACGATTGTTCTCTCTACTTTTCCAAGTCTGGCCTGCATAACAAGGTTCCTGGGCAGTGATTGAAATCTCACTGTGTCTGAACCATAGACTGTATATAGAATGGACAACGTCTGCCTCCTCGCTGGGTGAAGCCACTCCAAGAACAGCACCCTCTGGTGACAGGCTGCAGTATAGGTCACAAATCCCACCTCTGCCAGCAAAGCTTATGGGGCTGTGGACAAACTTTAGAAATTTATTACACAGAACATAATTTTTTCTCCCCCCCTGCATGAGATGTTGACATGTAGTTATTGTAAAACTGGTTTGTGCTCAAGTCCTCTTTTTTCTGTGAAGCTCAGTTTTTAAAAGTTATTAGGGAGTTCATGTTTTCTATGATTGACACTTAATACAGCCTATGGACATACAAGAATTGAGTGGCTCACACTCAGAAAAGCAGTTTTGCTCTTCGTTTTCTAAATGCCATATGAACTTGTAGAAAACAAGAAAAAACATGATTTTCATCAGAGGTGGTTTTTAAACAAGGTTATATTGGTGTGAAATTATTGATCATTGTCCCATTCTTGCTTGATATAGAATTTAAGATGCTTTAACTCTGGTTTGAGAATGCAGGAAATATTTTCAAAATGTTTTGTGAGAAGTTGGCAGTGTAGGACAGACAGTTTAGCATTTGGTCTCTTGGGGCTCTATTTTAGTGCCTCGCTGGCAACATGGCACAGGCGCGGTGTAAGTCAGGTCCGCGGCACCGACAAGGTGTTCCCAAGCACAATTTGGTATTTTGGTGAGTGGCGCAGCCTGGCGTACGTATCCCCCCTCCATAACTCAGCACCTCCTAGCGGCATAAGTCGTAGGGAGGGAGGAGAGAGGGCATGGAGTGGATTTAACACAGCTGAGACCTGTATTAACCAATAACATGAGCTCCTCTCCTCGCCTTTAAATCCTTTTTTTTTTTTTTGTTCAAATTTTGAAGTAAATAACTAATCTGATCACTGAAATGAATCATCTGGTCAGCCGTGCCACAGCAGGAGCAGCAGGATGGAGAGAGGACACAGGGACACGTCAGGTGTTGTGCTGTAGAATGCACCCCTGCCATCAAATGCACCCCCTGATGGGAGCTCGGTTAAAAGTAAACAACAAGGCGAAATAATCCAAGTTTTCCTTACCATCGGATAGATTCAAAAGCGTGTGCCTTTAATGATTTCATTCAGGCTACTCGGATATGCTGAAAACAATAGCCCTCTGATTTGGAATATTTGCTGCCCTGAGAATATAATCCTCTCTACCTTAACAGATTACTGTACAGTTTATGTACCCAAGTACACCTCTGTACGTGCATTTTTTTAAAAACCTAAAAATAGAACAAAAGTTTGCTGCTCCATTTGACATATTGTCATGATCCAATACTTCTAATATTGGAGAATAGAGGAGACTAATTAAATATTTTATCAACTTCATCATGTGCGACTGTTTACTGGATATTTAATTTAATGCGGTTTCAGCTGTGTTAATTTGGTCAGGTGGAGTGTCCAGACACGTGCCAAATAAGCTCATCAGATCAGATATAGATCAGAATATATTGATATAGATCTAAATGTATGTGCTGACTCAGATAATTGCACTGAATATTGGTTGTTGTTGATTATTTATTGCACTGAAATGTGCCTGACACTGTGAGGCATGGTGATGTACAGTACAGACCAAAAAGTTTGGACACACCTTCTCATTCAATGTCTTTTCTTTATTTTTTTATATGACTGTTTACATTGTAGATTATTACTGAAGGCATTAAAACTATGAATGAACACATGTAGAATTTTGTACTTATAAAGAAAGTGTGAAATAACCGAAAACATGTTTTATATTCTAGTTTCTTTAAAATAGCCACCCTTTGCTCTTGATGACAGAAGTACCTTGTCAGGGTTACTTCAGGCACTCCTGTGAAGTAAAAACCATTTCAGGTGACTACCTCATGAAGCTCATTGAGAGAACAGCTAAAGTTTGCAGCGCTATCAAAAAAGCAAAGGGTGGCTACTTTGAGGAATCTAAAATATAAAACATGTTTTAAGTTATTTTATAAGCACATGATTCCACATGTGTTCATTCATAGTTTTGAGAATCTACAATTTAAATAGTAATGAAAACAAAGAAAATGCATTGAATGAGAAGGTGTGTCCAAACTTTTGGCCTGTACTGTATGTGCGCTACGCCGCTGGTCTACCAAAATACCACTAGACCAGCTGCGCTCCGCCTGCGCTGAAAGCTGACCAGGTTTGAATCAGAGAGCTTTCAGCACACTTTTCATGACGCTGGCGAGCACAAAAATGTCACTGCGCCAGCTGATTCTGTGGACACTTCCCCCTACCGTGCATCCATGCCCAGCTTGGTGGACCTCGGCGCGCCTAAGTCTATGAAAATACCAAACTGGCTGTGCGCCGGGCTCCGCCAGATGAAAATACCACTGCGCGGGTTCCGCCACCGTCTGCCACGTCTCCGGCATGCATGAAAATAGACCCCTTGTACTAGTGTGTGCACTTGTGTGTTCTTTCCCCATCTGTAAATGCAATCTCATTGTGCATAAGTGCAATGACAATAAAGCATCTTGTATCTTGTATCTTGTATCTTGTTGCAAGAACAGCAAAATGTTGCTTGGCATCTTCTTGCTGTATAGTGCAGTCTTTCCTGGAAAAGGTATTGCCTTGATAGCAGCACTCTTAAACTCTTGCTCTTAAACCTGTATTTACTGTTCAGTGTCAGTGATGCCTTCCCAGATGTGTAAGCTACCCATACCATGGGTACTGTGTATCCCAATACCCTACAAATACTGGCCTTAAAATGTGATATAGGTGTGAGGGGTCTAAATTTGAAACCCTCTTTGCAAGGTGCAGTTTTAACCTACATACTGTGAATAAATGACAAACTGTGTTCATGGACTTTGGTTTTAAGAAATTATTTTGAGCCCATGTAGTGATTTCCACTACAAAGATCATGGTCGTCCAGAATTAATTTTCAGCCTTGTCCCTTTTGTACAAAGATTTCTCCAGATTTTCTGAATCTTTTGATCATATTATAATAATAAATAATAATGCATCAGATTTCATATAGCGCTTTATCAGAGACCCTCAAAGCGCTTTACATTGGATACATCATTCGCTCACACAGTCACACTTTGGTGGTGGTGGAAACGTGGCTGCCATTCTGCGCCTACGGCCTCTCCGACCACCACCACACAACACTCACAATCATACACCAGTGGAGGACACACACTGGGAGCAAGGTGGGTTAAGTGTCTTGCCCAAGGACACAACGGACAGACTTGGATTAGGGGGGAATCGAACCGCCAACCTTCCGGTCATTGGACGACCGCTCTACCTCCTGAGCTACTTTAGATGACAAAATTTCCAAATTTGTTGCAGTTTTATGTTAAGGACCTTCCAATATTGTTGAACTATTTCCTTTTCCAGTCTTTCACAAAGTGATACCCCTCCTCTGTTTTACAGCAGCAGCTTGTAGAAAAATGTAACTGTCATATCATAGCATATTAATTCTGAGTTATGAGATTTGATCAGTGTTTTTCCCTGTTCTTTGCTGCAACTTTTCCACCACATTTGAGGTAAAAAATGACTGTGTCTTATATGTGTGACATACAAATAATATGTATGCATTTTTACAACTTATTTTATAACACCTAAAATAACAAAAAGTAGCATGGTTGTTTGACTTTCACTTTTTCTTCCTCCATTTGAGAATAACTTCATTACCTTCACAATCCAGTGCTTATTAATGTCCAAATTAAAGTTTGGGTCAATCCTGCGTGACTTCTGCATGTCCACATGCTGCAATCTCATGTCCATATATGGTATTGGAGCGATGTCTAATCATGTTTTTGGGAAAAAACTAGCATGAGCTTCAAACTAACAAGGAGATGGCATTCATCAATTTAAGAGCACAGCTGCGAACAAATCTGTCAGGTCAGAAACAGGTCTGTGAATCTATCTGGCAATTGCTGTGGTTATTTATTTTTATGAAAAAATTAAGAGAAATCTTACAAAGATATTGGTGAGCGATACCCTGTGGAGTCCTTTCTGTCAATCATGGTGTTGTGTCTGTTTTCACATTAGCAAATAACTAAATCAAAGCGAACACTTGGACAGAAATCCAGAAAGAGGCTGGCTGTAAGAGCTCTCCTGCAGCTCTGAATGTTTAGGTTCCCACTTTGGGGAGCTGCTATGCCATCCATATGTTTAGATGCAGTCCATAGCTGTCACACTGAGGGCGCATTTATCTTGAGCTCAATAAGGCTGTGGTGTGGCTCTGCTCTTTAGGGGTTTCATTAATATGCACCCAAGCTCAGTTTGCTTAGTCGGCATTCCTTCTGTCTGTCTGTCTGTCTGTCTCCTTCCTTTCCCCTTCTAGTTCATTTCATCACCCATCCTGCCTGTCATCCCCTCTCAGCATCACCTTCCCCACTCTTAGTGACTCACATGCTTTTGCCCGTTCGTCAAAATGCCTTTTTCACTTTGTCTCCCTTCCCTTGTGTCCTTCCTCTTTGTCTGCAGACAGAGACTCTTTCGAGGGCCCTCAGTTTTTCCTCTCCTTTACTTTCCAGTTACCTTTTTTTTTTTTTTTTTTTACAATTGTGAAATCTCTGTTTACAAATTCTAAGCATAAACTTGGCATCTGACCTCAAGGGGTCTGGTCATATGCATGAAATATACTCTTTATTTCCATTTGTAGTATGTTTTATGCAGAGGGAGAAGCCTGTAAAGCAGTCGTGGCATCCTGGCCCCTACTGGCAGTAGTCTTGCTACAATGAATGGATCTCTGTAAACAAATATCAGCATGCAAGTTCAGCTTCAAATCCAGTCTAGAATAAAAAATGCCACCCTGAGAGAAAAATCCACTGGGAGCTTCTGAAAATCAATCTGTGTTTAGATTCCAGGACTTTCTAAAATCCATCATAAATGATTCATTAGACCTTCATCCATTCAACAAACAAGCAATGTCTGTTTTCTGCTCGAGTACAAATAAAACTCTTTTTGGGGCTATTTGCTCTCATTGAATAGGACAGCTGAGCGGACATATTTAAAAGAAAGCAGACAGAGACTAAAATGAGCAGAGGCCATGAACCAGAGGCTTCTGTATTAAGGATTATATCCTCTATGTATATGGGACAGCTTTTAACAGCTGAGCTTAATGCTCCCACATTTTACCTTTACAATAGTAGGAGGGCATAACAAGTTCAACATGGCAGAAGGGACAATAATCCTCCAATCTCTTTTATTGTTTTCATGACTGTTGGGAGCCGAAATCCTGTTTATAAAAATGAAACAAAATTATTCACCTAGCTCTTCTTTATTGAGAGAACAGGCCCATGGATGAGGGAGGAAACTGAGAGCCAAGAGTGGAGTGCAAAGAGCCCCAGCCCAGGCAGACTGAGATAAGAAGAATTTTATTGATCCCCAAAGAGAAATTCAATAAGGCCATTGTAAGTTGGGTACCTAGGTTATGAGCACCCAAGTTTTGTGAAGTCCGCAATTTTGAAACCCATTAAAGCAAGTCAAAGGATATAATAAACCAAAAAAAGAGAGTGTTTATTCTGCAGAGATACCTGAACAGGCAATTTTGGTTCAATTTTGACCTGTGCTCTTGCCAACAGGACTGTAACAACGCAACACAATGATAAAAGGAGTCATGTCTGGGCTTTGTTTATTATAGACTGCTAGCTACAGAAAAATGGCCAGAAAGTTGGTCATCTTTCCAAGAGGCACATATAGTCACAGACAGTAGCCTGTGGGCTCATAAAACGGTTGCATCATGTCTCATTTATACCTTTCTTTTTTGCTTGTTTCATCCTTGTATCCTCTGCTTGTTTCTTTCCTTTTTTGTATCCCATCCTGTCTGTTTCTTCCTTCAATTACAGTTTAGCTTCTTCTGCCCTATCTTGTCCTTTCTCCTACTTTGATGTTCTTGTTTCCTTTTCCTTAAAGCCTCTCTGATGTTTTCCTTTTCTTGTTTACTTCTCTCATCTTTTCTTATACCCTCCAATTACTAATGGCCTGTTCCCCTGGATCCTGTCATACTTTCCTCTCCTCGTTGTTTCTCCTATTGTCTCCCTGTCTTCTTGACTTTTGGTCTCATTTCTCAGGTGCTTTTCATTGTTTCCACTCCACTCTAAGTTTCTCTTATTGTGTCTTGTTTCTCTACCTTGTTTCCTTTTATTTCTTTAGTTTCCTCTGACCTACTTGTGGCCTCATTTCATCTCCTTTCCCCCTGTCCCCTGTCTTGTTTTCATCTTCTCCTCAATTTCATTTCTCTAACGCTCCTCCAAGAGGTTATAAAGACTCGGCTCAATTCAATCAGCGGTGGTTGGTATTAGGATAAGCCCTGCTGATCTGGTTTGGGATTTGTCTTTTTTCCTCCGCTCTTACCTCGATCACTATTAGGTGACACTGCTGTGGTTCGACAGCTGCTGTGAGGCCGGATTATTACATCCAGATCAAATCTAGTTTGTTTTTAGAAGTACCTGTGACACACTGCTGCTCTCACTTGATTCATGCTGGAAAAACAGCAAAATGATAGGTTGCAAAGCAATTACCAAAGTTTGGAATAATCAGGACTAGGCTTGATTTAATGAAGCTTGAGTATTAGGTCAATCATCCTGATGATCAGATTAGTTACTTGGGGTGTGCAGGGATGTTTTTTTTAATTTTTTTTATTTGTATCTGTATTAAAGATACAAAGCCAGTAGTGGGTGTGGCCTATACTGGAAGTGATTTTTTCAGCTTTCCTACAACAACTATCATAACAGATAAGATGAGATTAAAGGAAGTCACATTCATTCTGGCAATGCAGTTTTTGTGCTTTAAAAGCATTGAATTGATTTCCTCCTGGCACATAGATAATCATGAAACATATTCTCCTTATGCAGCTACTCAAAAGGATATTCCAGCATAAATTTAAGAGTGCCGTGGAAAATTTATGATTATTACTTCATGGAAATGCAATCAGACTGAGACACTAAGGCAGAAGAACTACCGCGTATGCAGTGCACATACAAGATACACAAGAACTCTGATTGCATTTCCATGAAGTAACAATCATAAATTTTCTGCTGAACTCAGTGATCGACTCGTCAGGGTTCCCCCACAAACAAGCTGCTGGAAGAGAGTGGGTGATTTGTGTTTGGTCTCTTTGCTAAAGAAACCAGGCAGAGCTAAAAAGATGTTTGGTGGCTCGTACTATGGCTAAGACTCTTTATGTATTATTAATGAAGTTAGGTGCTGTTCTGCATTATTTGTGGCTGTAGAGTGACTGTTTGGTTGATGTTTGCCCATGGAGATGCAGACCACTGTTTATTGCTATAGTGCAGTCATTACTAAATTTGGTATGACTGGAGAAGCAAGTGGTTGGCAACATTAATCTCTGTCTAACTCGGGTGTCTAACTCTGTGTTACAGGGTGTTTGACCATAACTTAAATTTACACCGGAATATCCCTTTAATCTGTTTCTTTCTTGCTCATTATTTTTATTCTTTACTGAAGCTGTATGATGTCTCTGGATATCAAGTAATGATTTGATGAAAGGTGACGCCCTCACATCTTGAATGGATGAAAATATACAGTAATACAAGATACAACCATTTGCCACAGCAGGCAGGCTTGAGGCATTGAGATGTGTTCACGTGTTACATCTGCAGTGGTAAATTTCGCTGTTGGAAATGTTTCAGTCTCAGTTTCTCTGTAAATAACAGGTCATAAACACAAACTTTAAAAGTATTAATCCAAAATAAAAAGGTAGCTTGTTGTGATTGAATTGCATTTTGTTCCCTATTAGAACAGAAAGGAACATCATGTCTCTTCAGTGGTTTTAGTTTGTTCGATTTAAAATCCGGTCTCTAAAGTATAATTGCTCTGTAATGACATTCAGAGTGCATAGCTTGTTTTATTCATTTCTCTTTTGTTCTATATTTTTATTCTTGGGTAAATGGATGGTTAAATGTTTATAATAACTCAAAGAAAGTAATTGTAGACCTTAAATGATAATTTAATGTTCAAAATCAAGGTCATAGTTATAAAAAAAGAAAAGCTGTCTGCCGCAGTGTTCTTTTCCTACAACCAAAACTTCTCAGTTATATCAAATCCCCATATTTTGAGTTTTATACCACTATCATTAATGCCAATAAAAACAACCTCAAAAGCCTTTTTGCAGACGTCTGCTTTAGAGCTCTCAGATTTTGTCCCTGAGACGAGAAGAAGCTATAAAACACATTGAAGGATAGTCGAGTAAAAAAGCTGTTACAGTCCAGAACGAACGAAGACCATTTGCTGCAGAATGATCCGTATCTGTTGTCTGCCCTTATCACACTGACTTGTTTGACCAGGAACAAACAGGGGCTTTCAGCTGAGATACTGAGGCTTGTCAACATCACGTTGAGTCACCTGTCCTCATCCAGGAGAGTCACGCTGAGAGGGAAAACATTTTCCCATTTGAGCCGCAGCCAAGAGATTTGAGCTCATACTGCTCAGCTTGTGGCAACATTAACCCCATCCTGCCTTCACTGAGCCTGTGTCTGGACTATTATGGTTGATTATGTCTTAAAATAAGACAGACTGGTGAGAGGAATGCATAAGATGATCATTTTAGAAACATCTAAATGCATCAATAGTTCAATATTAGCTCACAGCATTTCATCATGTCTCACAGTTGTCTCCAGTGGTGTGCTCAGATTGGGGCAGAAGGGGGTCATTGTCCCCCGGTGCCCTCAAGTCTGAAAATGCTGCGGAAGTGCCCTTTTGGATGCTCCTGTCATAAATAAAATATTTCAAAACACCCTCTTCAGTACCCTTTCCGCAGAAACTTGCTTTAATAGCTGCTCTTTTACAGGATCTAATGTGACAAGGTGCCTTTAGGACACCCTTTCGGTATAAAAAATGTATTGGATACATGTGTGGATAAATCATGAAATGGTGCCCTTTGTTATTTTAACCTTATGTTACATTTACATGTACGTTTATCTGAGCTCAATAATCTAGAAAGTCTGTTTTTATGTAAGTGTAATATGTTTTATCATTTGATTTGCACTGATCTATTCAGTTTAGATATCATTAGGTGTAAATAACAGATCAGGTCTTCCCAGTCTGTGAGCCACATGCAGAAAGTAGCATCTGCATTTGGTTCATGTTGTGTTTTCCTTTGAAATTTATTTCTATTTCCACGACTAAATGTTGCATAAATATTAATCATAATGCAGGAACTTAAGTAGGTAAGGCTGAAAATTTCTTGGGGGAAGACCACCAGACTTCAGTAGCGCAAAGCAGCCGTGCTGAGGGTCAGCACCTCCAAGTCTAAGGCCATGGTTATCTGCAGGAAAACTGTAGATTTTGTCAATGTGGCTGCAGCAGTAATGCAGACACTGCACTGGATCATTGAGGTGAAGAGGGAGCTGAGCTTGAAGGCAAAGCCTTTGATTTTCCAGCTGATCTAAGTTTCAATCTCACCCATGGTCATGAGCTGTGGATACTGACCAAAAGAATAAGATCACAGATACAAGTGGTAGAAATGAGTTTCCTTGAAAGGGTGTGTCGGTGAGCTTAGAGTAGAGTGCCTATACTTCTACACATTGAATGGAGCCAGTGAAGCCAGTTCAGGCATCTGATGAGGATGCCTCCTGGGTGCCTCTTTTTGGAGGTTTTTCTAGAATGCCCATCTGGTAGGGAGCCAGGGTAGACCCAGAATATGCTGGAGGGTCTATGTTACTTGTCTGGCCAGGGAATGCTTTGGAGTTCTCCAAGAAGAGCTGCAAAGTGTGGCTGGGGGGAGGAAGGTCTGGAGCATCTTGTTTACACTACAGCATCCGGGAGCTGGGTCCAGATAAAAGAAAGAGAATGGATGGGTGGGTGGATGGATGGATGGATGGGTGGATGACCATCAGACCCCAGTCCTATGATTGTTGCCTTATCATGTAAAGATGGACCCCACATACTGTGAGAATCAGTGGTCTGAACATCTTTTCCAAAACCTGCTGTTCAAGGTGAGAGGCAGAGCAGTGAAGGTCTTATAAAATAGTGCTAGAGGCAGAACTGTACTGATCACAGCTTTCTTAGTGTTGGTGCCTCATGGATTATGTGGGGTGGGCCTTTTGTTTTTGTTTTTTTTAGCCCTGGCCTTTCAAACAGCCTGAGTACACCACTGGTTACCTCCTGTTCCAGTTATTTCTTGGCTCTGTCTGTGAAATTATACCAAAAAAAGACACTATCATTGCCTTATTGAGAAAATATCAGTAAATGTAAAACGGTACAAAAGGACCTCGATCAATCTGAACTCATAAATATGGAAGTTTTACTGTCGTATGTTAACAGATTAATGTCCATGACTATTACTCACACTTCAGATGGTGAGGAAGTCTGTTAAGGCACAACACTCAGAGCAATAACAACAATAAAAAGGAGAAAAAAAGCACTGCTATGGCTATCTCAAGATTATAAAGTGCTCTAACAGAGGAGTTTCTTTCTCCCACTCAGTGAGATGCTTGAGATTGAGTCCATTTGTCACCCTTTGGTGCAGAAGAGGGGACAAAGAGGCTTTCAAGAGTCTGAAAGAGTCTCACAAACAGCTGGGAATGAGCTGTGATGTTGTGGAGACGCACATCACACAGCTGCCGAGTCGTAAACAGACTGCAGACGGCTGCTGGTTTTATGATCTTACCTTCTTCTCTTTCAATCTGATGCCTTTAATTGCTATTTGCATCTGCCAGTGTGTATGAACCCACAATTATTTAAACAATTTTCCTGAACACTGTTCTCCTTTCTGTCTCTCAGAGGCTCAATCCAGCGCCATGATGTTCGACTGCATCTACTTGGAGCTCTCCGCCTCCCTCGATCACGGCACCAATGAGCTGTTGGAGGCTGCAGTTCGGACTGCAAGGGGTGAGTGTGTGGGCCCTGGCTGGACCGATGGTGACCCTGGAGCGGCCCGCAGGGAGAGCCTAACCAGCCGTGCGAAAAGGTTCCTGGCCGGGCTGGTGCCACGCTCATATGGACGAGACCGGGATCGAGATAGAGGCCGCTACCGGGAAATGAGCCGCCACCGGGGCAGCAAGATCCTCCGCCAGAAGTCTCGCTCTTGCCACGACCTCAGTGCACTGTGACCCTCATGAATATACACTGGCAGAGAAACAAACTCCCACACATGTACACATACACCAGACTGAAGGGAAGAAAAGGTGTGTAAGACGGGGCAGCAGAGGAGAGAGACAGGGAGTGAAAGACAAAAAGCTGGGACAACAGAGGTGTGGTAAAAACAAGCAACGGTGGATAGGGGTCAAGTGAGGACAAAAGAGAGAGAAGGTCTAAGAAAAAGCCAAAATCCACTGCAGCAGTGAGCCTTTATCTTCCTTCTATCAGTGTAACCAATTTGGGAGCAATGGAGGACAGGTGAGAGAGAACAGAGACAAAGATAAAGACGTGAGCTGCTTGGGTTAAGCTGTGAGGACTGATTTCTTGATGAGAGCAGCAGAGAAAAAATTAATTACATTCACAAAGCAGCTATTTTCCTACAGGGACGTGCTCAGATAAAAACCTGAGTGGGTATTACAAAAAGACAAAATAATGTGCTGCTGTATCCCAGGTTGCAAATTTTAAATAACAAAAGAGCCTGAAGTTTTGTTTTTTGTTTTCTAGCACTGCAGCTTCCTGACTGATGAGCTACTGAAAAGGCTATTGGTAGCAAAAAAGTTAGATGGTCAAAGTGTCACATTATGAGGTTGAAAACATATGAATGATTCATAAGCCCAAGTTGGACAACTGACAGGCAATCTGAGATGCAGTGTCATTTCCCACCCCACACTTGTCAGTTTTTTGCGCCCATGTTGTGTAAATAATAAGTGAACTTGTGTCCTCATAGTGCCCTGGGTGAGTCTTAGAGGAAGAGCAGCAGGTGCAAAGGGAGACAGTGTCAGTGCTTTACATCAACAAAAACCTAGTCTAAAGTCTGAAGATAGTGGTGCACAACTTTCTTGGTAGTCAGAGGCCACTTAAGACAGTGAAATAGACATTAGAGTTCACAGCACACAGGCCTCTGTCTTTTTTTAGCTGCAGCTGTGCTCTAATATATGTGTTTTTGCTGATACAGTGATATTAGGGCTTTTATTGGCACAGAGGGCTTGGAAACGCAAGTTAATTCCCCTCATCTCCACACATCCTGATAGGCTACAGCTCTCTTTATGGGGCTGAAAATGAGGACACCATCAGTGCTATCTCATCGTAACTGTGCCCCGCATGACCCAAAGGCTACACCCTGACATGTTACCACGCTTCATTGTTTGCTCTCTGGACTATATGCAAAAATCAGACACACACTGATAGACACACAGGCTCACACTCACAACTAAAGGATGTTTATTGAAAATACTCTAAAATAACTCAGAGCATAGGGCTTCCAGGTATTAAAGCTGCTATGATTTTTTTTTTAAGTGAAGTGAAATTCATATTGATACTTTACCATGATATCCCAACATAAATTACATCATAAGTGACAAGATTGATAACTTTTGTCAAATTTTTTTTTAATTCCTGGAGGTCTTCAGAGGGGGTTGGTGTCAGCCAAGCAGTTGTAGAATCAACTCGCTTTTTACAATAAGAAGTTAAACATGCTGGCCTGACCTTGATCTATGGTTGACAGCTGACAGCAACACCCCTCTCTGTCAATGCACCTGGCTCCTAAAGGGCAGACACCAATTTGATATATGTTAAATCCCCAAAAATACCTAAAACATTTTGGGATTTAAAAAATAATAAAAAAATAAAATAAAAAAATAAACACCTTTGCACACTGCACCTCACTTAGCCCATAGAATGTGTGACGCTAACATAAAAAAATATGAAAGGACACTGATTCACTCTGGCCCATAGGCTTTAGAGCTAATTTAAGCTGCCCTCTAGGTAACATAACTTTTACATGGTGAAAAGAAAGTAAGACTACCATTAAGTAAGATGTCAGATTCTTGCTGCATGCTAACATAACTAAGCTAGCAAATTTCAGAGTGCTGATATAGGCTTGAATCAAATTATGTTACACCAATTTGTTCCAGCTACAATTTTCAATAATTTAGAGGATCTGACAAGTTTTAGCATTGCTGTTATTAGACTGATTAGCCACCAGTGGTAAGTGGCTAAACTTCTGCCTGTGGAAAATTGTAACTTGTAAGTATCAGTGTGCTAAAGTTAGCCACAGTAAGGAATACTATAGAAATTTTTTTTAACTTACAGTTCATGTTAGCGTGGAAGAGATAATTTGCTACTGCTAGCTAGTGTCTTGGAATACCATGCGTTATGGTGTTTTACATCCAAGTTTGGACCATGTCCATCCATATTTTTACTCTTCAAGATATTTTTTTGCTGCTGTCCATCAAAAACTAATGAACTGAAACCAATTAACCAGTATTCTTTCATTTTGCAACCTGGAAAATGTTGAAGCAGATAAGCTTGCCATGCTGAGCATGAGATCAGAGGAAAATGGCCGCAGTGAGAGACAGCTGAGAGTCACTTTCAGATGCTTTAAGGGGGAAGGGGCTCACAAATAAACACACTCCCAAGTAGCACGTACTGATATGTAGAGAATGATAGCAATCTAATGTACACCTATTGTAAACCCTGTTTTCAAAGCATGCAGAGTAGACATGATCCTGTAAGTTTTACAGTACCTGACACTGGACTACTGCTTTTACCCCAGAGACTAATGGCAAATGCACAATCTAGCTAGAGTCTCTAGCAATGCCACCTCAAAGGCAAGACCTTTTATTCATCATAAGTACTCCTCCTCCTCTTCGCCTTTTTTAAGATGCATTCTCCACACTTGGTTCACCTTTTTGTGTCCTGTAATAATCGGAAGAACTGTTTGATGACACTACCTATGGCATATTCATGTGTGAATTTTTATAAGGGTAGAAAACATCAACGCCCAAGCCATATTTTTGCTGAGTGCACCCTGAGCAATCAGCACGAAGAACCCTTTACTGAGGACAAGGAGCATGTGGAAACAGGTCAGTGTGGCTATAAGGAAGACAATGGAAGCAGGGATAAATAAACTGAACTTTTCTTCAGTGAGAGCTGAGTCACGCAGTGTTTGGGTGTTCTTGAAGCACAGGAGGAAAAACAAGAGGAAACCTAATCTACCTGTGGCTGATTGATGTCTTTATTTATCTTTTTACCCACTGGCATTACTGCGTGTGTTGAGACTGAACTCTGTGGGGGCTGGCCACACAGGTGACCCAATAGAGAACGTTCTGGAAACGTTTGGATATTTCGTCGAGCGTGGCAGCGTCTCAGACACATGCTCACTTGTTTGTCACTGTCTACTAAGCACTCTCGTCTTTCCACTGAGAATAAATTAAGTTTTGTTTGAGATCCTGAGTGAGTCTCTTGTCCTTTTTTTATCACAACATTATGAAACAAATGTCTCATTACAGCCGTGTCTCAGTGGAAGGACAGCGTGGCAGGTCATCAGATGACTCACAGGACAGACTGGGAGAGGGCCTCTAAGGACAGTGGCTTCATTTAAGACTTAGCAGCTAAAAAAAGGTCCTCTGTCCACACTTTGTGGCTGACACAAAGTCTCAAACTAAAAATAAAACTCATTAGGGGGCAGAGCTGCAAGGAAATATCAATACACTCAGGTATCACAGTGTCATTTTAGGCTGTATTGATTCTTTAAAACACTATTCTATGTGATAGTTCATTTACATGCAAATGGATATTACCTATTCAGGCAAATGTTATTGCCTTTGCTCAAGCTGCACAGAAAATAACCCTTGCATTATGGACTATGGTGAATAAAAAAAGCCATTACAGTTTCTTTGCATATAGACCTTTTTCAACGCACAGATTTCTGCATGGGGCATATTTTATACTATGAACATTTCTTAAAACTCATCATAATCGTAGTTTTCTATCATATTGCAATTCAAAAAGAAAAAAAAATGCTGTTTCATAACCCCTCTTTTTAGGGTTTGTTTTATAGATACTATGTGTCAGAGGAACTAAAGGACCAAGTGAAAGACTTCAATATATAAACACAAATACTTTTCTGTCCAGTTAACTGCATTATTATGAGGATGTGAAAAGTATAATAAATAAAAGTATAATTTTATATAGTCCTCTCTAACAATGGTTCCTGATATTTTTTCCCAGTAAACTCCCCATCCCCTGTGGGTAAACCAGTGGATGGAAACAACCCCTTTGACATTTAATAGACTGGGTATGTGTTGCAGATATCTATAATTCAGTTTTGCAGAATCAAAATGAACATCTCAGAAATCCACAACTTCATTCTTTTTAGGACAAATGGCATCACTTTTGCCATTTATGGTTGTGTGGTTTCTCATTACAGATATCTACAATTCAGTTGTAGATATCCACGATGTGAATAACAGATATCTAATATTTCTTTGACATAGATATCTCCAACTGAAGTTTGGGATAGTCATAATTCAATTGTAGGTATCAAGTTATAACTATTTTGAAATGAATTTTGAGTAGAAATATCTGAATTGGAGATATCTGTAACTTTTATCCTGTCTAGTCCAAATGTAATTACAGATATCTTAAATTGCAGTTTTGATGAGGCAAAATGATGTTACAGATATCTGTATGCAAATTAGGCTTTCCTTTTCAGGCAGAAGTGGAGTGTAATGTTGTTCAAATGATCAAATCACATTGTACCTACGTTCAGCATGGCCAGGTCAACTTGTTATGAGCGACTTTGGGCTGGCGTTAAAGTCACCTGCAAATATCATTGGTTTTTGCGCTTGTTTCCTACAGTGTAGTTGTTTATTTGGGCTTGCTTAGCTCCCTGTTTGACTGTGGGCTTTTTTTATTTTAGGATTCAAGTCGCCTTTTTGGGGGGCTTGAGTACATTTGAGATGTCTTTGACTTTCATTCTGCCAAGTAAAAACTGAATTACACATATCACGTTTTTTTTCATGGTTTTTGTTTGCAACTCAGGTTTTGTGTGTGTGAGTCTATCTCCCCTTTCACAGAGGTTGGGCAGCTCTTAATCAGCACTGGCTCCTCCTGCACCGTCACACCTGCACCTGATCATGTAATCACTTCCTGCTTTCAAGCTCTGCCTGGGGGACTGCAGATCGCCAGATGATTCCAGCTTTCACAGCGGTATCTTGGCTAGTCTCAAGCAAAGTTACTGTACTTAAATTAATATTTACGTGTGTTTAAAAGTTACCTTTGACTAATCTCCGCTCACCTCCTTTTCTCCTCCAGTGCCTCCACTCACCACCAGCATTGCCCAGCCTCTGCCACGACGGCCACACTCTCTCACGGATTCAGTCACCTGCATGCCTTCAAGCCCTCACTCTGCCCTCCCCCTCCATTCCGTGGATCTCCTTCACTCCCTGGACTTCAGAGCTCTCTTCCGCAACCATCGAACTGTCAATGAAATCTCTTAAAGCTGCCATTGTGTCCTTTACCTGCTTTTGGGTCCTCTAAAGAAACACCTCATTACAAAATCCTCACAGATTTCTTTTTTTGAGTAGTCACAAATATGTTATTGGGATGAGTCAAAAACACAAATAGTGATATCTGTTATTCAGTGTTGTTGATATCTACAAGGTTAATACCGTAGAGTTAAACTTAGCTGTTAAATGTTAAAATGTCTTGCCATAGTCTCCTACTGTCACGATTAGTTAATCCTCCATTTTCCACTTGGATCTCTGCCGGTCTGTTGTTGATACATGTCACTGGGCTATCTCCATGCTGATTGGTTATCAAGGCAGCAACATTCACTTGTTCAGATGATTCAACTCTTGCAACAGGCGTTTGAAGCATGTAGTGTTTTGGACGTGACACAAATTCACTTCATTCATACGTATGATCCTTTCTTTTCATAAGAGTAGTCAGTTCAATTTGCACTAGTAGCACCATCCAATTTACATCATTTGCATTGCCGCAGTAAAACGCGCATCTAATCATGTCTTTGCACTGACTTAACATGTACTTCACTCGTGCTTGGTGTGGTTGCAGTATGAGTACATTAAATTCTTTTTTTTCAAATATTGTCTAAAATGATTGAGCATAATTTATGAATTATTCTGTAGGTGACATTAAAAAATGTAAAAGTGACTTGAATTAACATTATTTTAAAATGTTTTTAGTCTTTAAGCTCTGTGTCCACTGACACATTTTTTCACTTTGGCATCACCCATAACCACAAAGCACTGGTTATAACAGATGTCTCATATCACTTCTGCTATTATTGGTCCTGTTTCAAATTGTGGAATATGCCTTAATTTTTTCTTCTCTCCAAGGATTTTTTAAATTTGTTTATTCTGAGGCTTTTCCATGCCTTTATTTAGAGCATAGGACAACAGATGGAGCAGGAAATGGGGGAGAGAGTTGGTAGTGACATGCAAGAGAAGAGACACAGGCTGGAATCAAGCCCTAGCTGCCTCTGTATCTCCTCTGTATTTCAGGGTCCACTGAGACCACTATGTCAGTGGTGCCCCCTATTCAAATATTTTTTTTTACAATGTGGGGACTGGGACCCAGTTCATTTCCATAATCCTGTATCTGTTCACAAAGCTGACATTAAAAACCATGCCCAGTCTTGATTTCATTGGTTGATCAGGGAGATCAAGCACTCAGAGTCCTGGGACAAAAAGTAGTAAGCAAAGAAGGCAGATTTACCCTCAGAATGCTTAGTGCTGACAACTACTTACCTGCAGTGATTCTGTATGAAAATAAATGCTGATGGTGGACACTGGCCCTTAATTGTGTTGAATCCCTCCTTACATTAAACTTTGGTATAAGGATGTTAATTTTTACATTTATGCAAGTCTTGTCAACCTTAAATAAAGTTTGAGCCTAGGAAACTCTTTTATAGTTGACTTATTACTGTGATGGAAACTAAATTAGCTAGACACTGTCTGGAATATAGAAAAACATCTTAATGTGTGTTTTAATACTCACTGGGTGTGTGTACTGTGCTTTTATTACAGGGACAAATTTGCAAGCAGTGGCGTACTGCCAGAGGACCTAATGAATGATTCTTCTGCTATGAGATTGTGGTTTACTAGTAAGACATCAATGGCTCAGCATTACCTATCTAAGATGGGCTCTACTTGGTAGCCTGGTAATTTGGTTACTGAGAAGGGAATTTGCCAAAATCTCATTCAGATGAACATAAAATGAGTGTTTGATCCCTGGGATCTGGGTCTGAAGTGGAAGGAAAATTCTTACTAGTCAGTGATGTTTCACAGTGAGAAAACTCATTTTCTGTTTATTTGTGTAATAAAATTATTTGTTTTTGTATTTGCTTCTGGGCAACAACTGGAAGTTAGATATCTTAAGATGATCCAGGCCAATGTTTTTACAACACTATAAAAAACTTAGAAGAAATGGACCCTGGGCACAAGAAACACAGTTGGGCTGCTTAAGTCACCCCTCTCACTGTGAGGACAGGAAACTGGAGTGAGGAGTAAGGAGTGGATACTGAAAAAGGTTTGGGTGACAGTCCAGATGTCAAAGGTAAATCAGTAGAGTTCTGTGAGTGTGTTTACATATTTTAATATACTTTCTCGTGAGCACATGATGCGTCTGAGCTTCCACACAGGTAGGGAAACCAGTCTCTGCTCAATCAAAAAAAGAAAGAATCTATTTAAAGCAATAAATCACTCCAAATTCAGATACTCTGAAACACAGACATCCATATACTGTACACCTGCACTCTAAATATCATACCTGTCAGGTGTTATGTGCTGACTCTTGGTCCTTTTATCAGACTGGATAGTGACTTAATTTTACCACATTCCTAATAACAAAATCCCTGCATAACAAAATTATATGTGTGCAACATTATTTTTTATTAAAGGATCCAAAATATATTTTGTTTATTTCATTGAATTCAGTAACAAGTATTGTTTATTTGTTCAGTTTTGCTTTATTTCCATCTTAAAAAAATACTTTTCCGAACTGTTTTATTCCTGTTTCAGCACTATTTTAGAATATTTCAGCTCTATGTAGCTTAATGTTTGTTCATTACTTTTGCATTTAATAATATCTAAATGGAAATGTAAACACTGTGACTGCATGAAAACACAAACTGAAAGCAACCTGCTAAGTTATTATCACTCTTGATGCAATCATTCAGTGAAATGAAAACATTCAACTGTTTGACAAAGAGAGGCATAAAGCATCTAAAGAGACAATTATTTTCTCCCTTAAACAAAGAAGTGAACACAATTTACATCTGTTAGGTATGAAAAAAAAACAGTATTCATTTACAAATAAACTGTTAATAATGGATTTTAATTTGTTTAAGAGCAATCATGGTTTTATGCCTTTATTATAACAGCCTATTTCTGCTGCTTTAAAGAGGCAGAGAATTGTATCACAGCTCGGTTGCAGCAAACACTGTAAGCTGTAAGCATAGTAAGCATTTCAGAGAATTCAATCTCTTCCGTCACCACTGCATTCGGTCTCATGTATTCTGTACATTGATAATTTGGGGCTGATCAATATTGTTATTTATTATTGTTGTGAAATCAATGTTTCTGTTGCTTTCACATGGCCAGAGATCAGATTTCTACCAAGCTATTAGCCAGCGAACACTAGATAAACTGTTCAATCTTTTCTTTTCAATTCAATGATTCACAAAATAATAAGTCATAGTCATATGTCCTTTTTTTTTCTTTCCTAAAAACACAATCTTTCCAGTATTCAGGGGACCAGTATTCAGCTGTGTGCACTGGCTGAGAATTCCTGCAGGGTTAAAGGGACCTTTTTTAAAGCATTTTGACATCTGAGTCAACACAGGTGTAATAAAAATTATTCATCTTTTTCTTTGAATTCATGTTGGAACTGAAACGCTGCTACTGTTTTAGTCCTGCTGTGCATGCTGCAAAAGTGTCTGCAAAGAGAGGCGTGAGTGCTCTGGTACTGCAAGGCAAATATGAAGATTTATTCATGATGCAATCTGTCATATAAAATACAAAATAGACAGGAGAGAAGAAAAAAGGCGAATGCTGTCTGAAGCTCTCAGCTGGGTGGAAAACTGAACTGAAATTGAACTTTACTCCTTTATATTACTTTTTCCATGAATTTACAATCAGTCCAGGATGGCTTAATTAATTCATCTGGGAGTATGAAATAATTCAGAAGTTTGTCATAAAAGAAATAAATATGATTTGATGAGTATGTTATGCAAAGTTAGTTTTATGACTGTCTTCAGCAGAAATAACAGCGGAAAAAAAAAAAAAGTGCAGTTTAATGAGCATTGTCTTAGAAAAATGATGTTACCCATGAGTTCTTTAAATGTATTGCTATACAGTAATTATTTTTGCCTCTAAATGATATAGAGAATAAAATTGTCATTTTCTTTGCCCCAGTTGCTTTGAGAGGGAAATTTTAAAAAGAAAGGCTAGATGAAACACTGGGAAATAAAACAAAAATTAAATATCAAAAAAATAGAAGAGAGAGATAAACACACTACAATGCCTTGCAATTTGAAGGTGTTGATCTGAAAACATATTCTGTCTACCATCCAATGCACCAACAATAAACGCAAACTTGCATCTCTTCCTAAGCTAAACAGACCTTGTTTTTGAAACTGTGACTCAATTGCTCAGAAAACGGTTGTATTATACAGAAAAATAGACTCTAAAAAGGAACCGTTTAGTGTTTGATGGAATAATTTTACCTCCGTCCAAACAGATTTAATGGGAGAGTAGAAGCAGTTTTTCTCTGCTGTCACATTCAAGGTAGGAAGACAAAATGCTGTTTTCAAAATGATTTTTGTGTTACTGTGATAAAGATGGTAAAAAGAATAAACAAAGGCACTCATAAGTTTGAATGAGTTTATGACTTCGGGAAATGTTAGTCAATCTCATTTCACTGATTGTTCAAAGAATCTGTTGGCAGATGACATTATCTTGTATTAGAAACTTTCTGGTTTCTGCTGTCTGAGCTGTTTCATCCCCCTGAGTTTCAGTAGATAATGACTGAATGCATGCAGGATGACAGTCCACATGGAGACCAACATGAGGTCGAACACAACGGCAACATCTGAAGACGATTGGGATTTTACTTATCTTCATTAACAGATAATAGCATGAAGGAGCAGCTAACAATTCTCTGCGAAACATGTAAAACTACTCTATAGGTGTCCAAGACTGACACAATGAAAGGTAAACATGAGTCTTCTTTGAGTTTACCTTTGCTTGGGTAGTCTTTCCTTTTTACTGGCTCGCGTTAAAAAAATAAAATAAAGGCAGCATAACTTTGAAAACATCTGTCAGTTTCCTCCACTCTTTCAGCAGGTGTAGCACAGGTGCCTCAGGCTATGAAGCCAGAGCATTGTTCCCTGGAGCCAATCATTTGAGATCACATCAGAGGGCTGGTGTGTTCAGCTCCTGATGCTGCTGCAGTAACTATCTGAAGTGGATAAATGGAAGGACTCTTAAAAGGGAGGCAAACTGGCAAAGAGGCAGAGGGGTGGAGGAGAGAAGGGGTTGGAGAGATGCTTTGAGGAGTAATGGTTGCTTGGAGACTGTTGTCAAGGAGACCATGAGTCCTAGAGTCCTTTGGCATCTCAAATGTCCCATTTTTATGTTGATTTTCAGGAAGAGGAGGATTCGTTTGGGTTTTCTGTCCCCTGTAGGTGACAGAGACGGATAGTGGTGTCACACAGATGAGGTGAACTCTTCAAACAGAGACAGGCCTGATTTTAACGACGTTTCTCGCTGAATGGAGAGTGACACATGAAGGATTTTTATCACATTTAAACAGGTCAGATAATGGCATGCTATTTGACGGCTGCACAGAAGCTGGCAGGAGAAAGAGAGGGAAACAAGGACGTTATGATCCGATTTTTTTTGTGTGTGTGTGTGTGTGACACCCTATCAGTCGCTCAAATCGTGACAGAAATC